TGTCATTGCCGGCAGACATTTGCATTTATCGTATGCAAGAGGCCTTGTTGATTGCAGACAAATTGGTACGTTCATTGCACATTGATTTTATGTTTGCAAGAGACTGGTATATTCACTTGCATGTTGATCAGCATTGAGTGCAGGTTAAGCTGCATTCACTGCTGATTTCTCTATGCATATTGACTGGCGAATCACTAAATTCATTCCATGTTAACCTTCATCGTCCATAGGAATTGATGTGTTTGCTTGTATATTGATTAGTGCCAATTATATGAATGCCACTGCACTTGTTGCATGCCAGTTATTTAATATTTGTTCGCCAGCAAGCAGCATCCGGAGCTGAGTAATATTGACTATGCATAAACGTCACGTGCTTCGAACTTCCTCGGATACACCAACTCACCATGTTCATTGTGCATTGACCTTCATTACTTACGGAGGTTCGATGTGTTTGTTTGTAGATAGGTGTTGACTGTAGAGAAGTTGTTATAGTCATTGTATATCTTCAGTTTGCTCACAACCATGTCACTACGTTTCTCCTACCACCACTCATGAATAGTTCATTGTGCACATTGGAACTCCTTTATTGATTGATGCATTTGCTTGGACTTGTGTTCAACACAAGTTTCTCATTTGTTCATTGATATTCATTACAAATATTTCTTGTTTGCACATTGATGTTCATTTGAATGTTCATCGCAAGTTCATTTAGTGTTTGATTATTTGTCTATTTTGTGGATTATAAATTAACACTGCTATTGTAAGGTCCTAAGTCCTGGATGAGAAAAGTGGAGGGTTGCGTTAGGTAGTCGACAGCTAGCGTAAAACTTGTCGAACAATAATGACATGAATCCTTTAAGAAATTGTGTTAATGATACGGCGTCCCCTGGAAGCGACGCGCTGTATGGCCTGAATACAGTGACAAGTGTGCAAGGGCCGCTGCACCGGAGCCCGGGTGCAGTGTTAAATTGTCAAGGATTCCCACATCAAGGACGGATGTGGGCAAAGAAGTTAGTCCATGAAACTAAAATTAAGATAGGAACTTGGAATATAGGTTCTCTTACAGGAATTATGGAATTATAAATATATGGATTCATAGAAGTTAAATATTTTGGTTGCATTCAGGAAACTAAATAGGTTGAGAGGAAGTCTATAGGAAATTGATATTAGTGAATTAAACTTTGGTGTATTCGGGTGGTCGTACTAGAAATGGTGTAGGTTTATTATAGAATAAGAGAGTTTAGATAATATATAAAAATTAATATGATTTGGATTAGAATTATATCTTTAAAGATTGTGTTGTGATAAGATGTTAAGTATTATAATAAAGCTTATGCTTCCTCAAGTCGAGTTTGGATATGAGCTTTTCCTAAATTAAATTTTTGGAATGACTTAGAAAGAATTAATACAAAAGATATCTTTTGAAGAAAGAGTTTATTATTGGAGGAGATTTAAATGTGACACATGTTGTGTAGAGAGGTAGATATTTAAAAGCATTCACTGGTGGCCCATGGATTTGAACGACGAATAAGGTGGCCAATACATATTGGAACTTTGTTATTTAGCTTATGATTTTCAATTAGCTAAACCTTATTTAAGAAAAAGGAATGAGCATCTCATCAACTTATAAAAATGGAATATATCAACCCAATTTGACTATTTCTATTGGAAATTTAAATTGTTTAGATTGAAATTGTAAAGTTATTGAGTAAAATATTATGTACCCAATCATCGATTATTAGTTTTAGACTTTAAGATAAATGGGCATAAAAAAAAATATAAGGTAAAACATTTTCTAGATTATATGGGGCGCATTTTAAAAAATATTACAAAAAAATTTTTGAGAAATAAGATTTAGATCTTAAGATTTGTCTGTGCAGAGGCATGCTAATGTTATGTGGAAAAAGTGAACTAGTGATTAAGATATAGCAAAAAAATGTCCTTTGATGTTTCAAAATGAAAGCTCACTAATTAGTAAAAATAGTGGTGGTGAATCAAGATGGTTCAAAAAAAATTAAAAATAAAGGTAAATGTTTGTTATTAATAAATTGGTTTAATTTTAAAATTTTGATAATTTGAGAAATATATAAGATGCTCGTAAGGATGCTAGAAGAGCAATATGCGTATGCAAGACATTAGCTTTAGTGAATGTTATATAATATGATAGATACTAAAGAGGAGAAAGATATATGTAAAGTTAGCCAAAAAAAGATAGGAGTAGTAAGGATTTAGTTCAAGTAGGGTGTCCAATTCGTGTCAACGTGTCGGGTTCGGGTCCGAACCCGGAAAACTGACCCGCACTGTTCGGGTCAACCCGAACCCGAAACCCGTTTTAAAACGGGTCACGGTTTTCTGGACCCGAACCCGACCCGATTTCGGTCCGGGTCAACCCGACCCGGACACGAATGACCCGGGTTGACCCAAAATGCTAATTTCGGGTCAAAATCGGGTCAATCTCGGTGTTTTCGGCTGTCAAAATCGGGTCAATCTGGGTTTTCGGGTCAAAAATGATTTTCCACCATGTGTCACTTTCGGCGTCAAATTCGGGTTGGCGTTCAACCCGAACCCCGACCCGATTTTAAAACGGGTTGATTTCATGAACCCGAACCCGACCGTCGGGTTTGGGTGAACCCGAACCCCGGATTTTTCCGCGGTCGGTTCGGGTCGTTGTTTCGTGTCGTGTCAAAAATGACACCCCTAAGTTCAAGTGAAGTGTATTCAGTTGGGTTACATCAAGGATCAGCCTTAAGCCCATATCTTTTTGCGCTTTAGTCATGGATATTTCTCACTAGATTTGCCAAAAGATGTACCTTTGTGTATGCTTTTTGCTGATGATATTCTTCTTGTTGATAAGACTAGAGAGGGAGTTGAAGGTAAACTTGAATTATGGAGGTCAACCTTAGAGTCTACAGGTTTTCGCTTGAGTAGATCTAAAACGGAATATATGGAGTGCAATTTTAGTATTAATAGACCTAGTGAGGGGATTGTGACTTTGGGTGATCAAGTCATTACTAAGAGTACATGTTTTAGATATCTTGGATTTATTGTTCAGAGTGATGGTGAAATAGATGGGGATGTTATCAGTAGAATTCAAGTTGGATGGTTGAAGTGGAGGAATGCATCGGGTTTGTTATGTGATAGAAATGTACCCCTCAAACTTAATGGAAAATTCTATAAGATGGTAGTGAGGCCTGCAATGCTTTATGGTGCCGAATGTTGGCCATTAAAAGAGAAGCATAATACTAAGTTAAGTTTGACAGAGATGAAAATGCTCAGGTGGTTGAGTGGCTTTACCCTTAGAGATAGGATACGAAATGAGCATATACGTGAAAAGGTTGGAGTAGCTCCAGTAGAAGATAAGATTAGAGAGAGTCGTCTTAGATGGTTTGGTCACATAAAACGGCGGCCTTCCGATGACCCGGTTAGGAGAGTAGAGGTATTAGATTTGACTTATGTTAAGAAAGGTAGGGGTAGACCTAAAAAGACTTGGTTAGAAAATATTATGAATGACCTTTCTTTATTAGATTTAAACGAGAATTTGACTTTTAATAGGACACAATGGAGAAAAAGGATTCATGTAACCGACCCCACTTAGTGGGATAAAGGCTTGATGTTGTTGTTGTTGTTTGTGGATTATAAATTCATTTTATGCATTTACTCAAGTTTAGTTCCCTGTTGTGCAAGTATTGTTCCCTGTCGTTTCGTTGAATTCAAGTCTCCTGTAATTTGTTAAAGTCCAGGTCCTCTGTTTATAAGAAAATTCGGCAATCTCCCAACGTCTCCCCCGTTTAAAGGAATTTCAAGGAGATGGGCCTTCCCACCATGTTACGAGAGCGTGTATGGCAGGTGCAGGCGACACTGTGATCATCCCACCATGTTACAAGAGTGTGCATGGGTCTTTGAGGTACCTATTTGAAATGCATAATTTTCTTTCCCCGTAGGCACTAAAGCACGTAAACGGGTACTTAAAGTAATCCCCGCCACGCTACAAGAGCATGCACAGGGCCTACCCACCTCGCCGCAAGCATCGCACTGGGTTCCCTCCTACTATGCTACGAGAGTGTGTATAGGTGATTTTTCGGTGCTTTGCGAGCGTCGAAAACAAGATTTAGGCCTTTTTGAGTTTGGAATGCATTTATACCTTAACAGTGAGGGCCAACGACATCGATGATGATGTCGAGGAAATTGGCGATGGCGAAAAACTTGCAATGCATAAAAAGGTCTCTTTTTGTTTCCTTCTTTTTTTCTTTCTTTCTTTTTTTTGGTTTAGATAACAATAATAATACTAATAATAATTAATATTATAAATAATATTAGCTATACTATTAATAATATTAAAATAAAGAGAAATGGGCTAAAGAGTGTAGTTGTTGTAGGTGGAAAGATGGAAAAGAGGTATGTAATAGAGAGGTTTGGGTTTGGCTCTTGGGCGTGGGTTTGGGCAGATGTTACAGTGGCTGGGATTCAAAAGAGGTAGAGGGATTTCACTGCAGTTGGGAAGATCGGCATAGCACAATCGAGTGTGGGAATTGTGAGCTGTAGTAGAACGCGAGGTAGGAGCGGATGGTCGTGGGTGCTGAGGTTGTGATTGGAGCTACTTGCGGCTAAAGGGATTAGGAGGTTGGCTGTCGCTAGTGGGATGCTTGGGTGAAAGCTGTGACTGTTGTAAATCACGGGACAGGAAGGGAGGAAGAGACCAAAGCCGTGGAGTTCGGCACTGGGTGTGAGGAAGCAAGAAAAACAAAACAAATGATGCTTGTTCGTGCTGGTTTAAGACCTTGAATTTCTTAACGAAATATAGGACACGGGACACGTCAATTATTCCAGCACGAACGAGCATCATTTGTTTTGTTTTTCTTGCTTCCTCACACCCAAGAAAATATAGGACACGGACACGGGACACGTCAGTTATTTAACCTAACTTCACCACATTGCAGTAGTTAAAATATCAAAAAGCTAACTTCACTGGATATTTGTCGCAGCTTGGCAAGAAGTAATACCACTGGGGTTTCTTCTTCTACTTCATCATCCAATGCACCACCAGGGGATGTAAGACCAGGGCACATTATATTAGCACCAGAAAGGACAAACTTGACAGCACCTCTGTCCACCTGTAACTTCTTCATTATATTGGGATCTGAGATAAAAATAAAAACACAGTAAGTACCTTACAAACACTATTATCCACCAGTAACTTATATTGGGATTTGATAAAATGAGAACAGCGCACTGAATTTCAAACAAACAATATTGAAGAGAGTTTAACTAGAGCATCACGGGTTCATATAATGTTTTGTATAACAACTTAATAGCACAAATCCAAAAATATGATTGCTTAGTGCATGAAAATTTATTAGCTTGGGAGCGTGAATTTGTGCAGGCCTATTTGAGTGATGGAGGCAGCGTACACAAGAGAAATAGGTTCCTCTATGCATAGCATACAAAGAACAAAAGCTCCTCTTTTAAGATGAGATGATTAACGGGGAGAAGCAAAAAAAAAAGCAAAAATCTGAATCAGCACTTTTTATTTCAGGTACAAAATTATATAAAAGATAAAAATTCGTTGAGTTTGTACTTTACATTGATGAAGCAGCCTCAAAGTTGGCATGTAAGGGCCATCCCTAATGTTGAAAAATAAAGGCACGTTGTTCACCGAGACAAGATTCAGATGGTTTTGACTAAAAATAACAGAAAAGAAAAGGTTAGCCTCCTCAGTAAAAAGCCAACTATTGAGTTATACTAGCTATTATGTAGAGACAACTGAACTCTAAGTAATTAGGAATAACAATTCCCCAGAAAATTGCATTGCATGTGTATTGGAAATAAGAACATATATGCTTTAAGAATCATCAGCAAGAAATATGCTGTACTCCATTAATCATCTTTCGTTAAGAAATTCAAGGTTCAATGATGTTTATTATTTTGTCAACTCCAACAATTAGAGAGTAATGGTGTTTGATATTTACACCATTCGGTTTGTTATTATTCAAAGAAGTCGTTTGACTCCTTGGGTTACTTACGTAATTACAAAATATTCACAGTATAGCCCTTAGAGAGCTTTTAGCTATCATTGCAACAACCAAGCATACAAATCAATTTTTTTATTGCATATTTTGTTTGATATTTGCACTTGTTCTTTAGTGGTTTTAAAATAAAATTGTCATAAATGATGCAAGATATGTAACTATAATATAAGCTCATCAAGATGTTTGGAAGTTTTTTGAAATAGGGCTATGATTTATCTTTCAATGCTTCACCAACTTGCAATTCCTATGCGATCATAAAGGTTACTTATGGTTTAGGACGGTCAGAACCTAGTTATCCTTAGTAATTTTGTTTTTGTTTATATAGGACGAAAATATGGACCACATAATATCTAGATTACAATTAATGTAACTTTTGCATGTTACATCGAGAGTGGTTATCAGCATCTTAACTAGATATACATATCAACCTTTTTTTAAAACTTATTCTACAAACTTTCAAGGTGCTCTGCATTCTTTTGATTTTTTTAAGAGCTATTACCATCACTACTCTCTAAAAAAGAATTTTTTGCAGCCTAAAGATTTGATTGAGGCCATCAAGCACGTCATAGAATTTCTATTGATCTACTATTGTTTGATTTCTAACATTATAGATGAATGCCATGAGTATCAATCATTTACAAATGATTTACATCATTTGAATTTTATTTCATGTTATTTAGAATTAGTATTTATTTGATTTGCATAAATATTTATGTAAGAAGTATATAAAGGTACTTTAATCATTTAGTTATTAGCTATTAGTACAAATTTCCATTCATACTCCCCTTCTTGAAATATTTCCTTTATGAAGCAAGGTCTTTACCATGTGATGCTGTTCATATCAGAATAGTTTGAAAACAATCTAGGTTATATGATTCAACCTTTATCTTTCTAATTTTCTCTCTTGCTTCATTAATTATCCCCTCCGTCCTCTCCATCCCTTGTAGCCCCTTCTTGCGACCTAGGGCCAAACATTACATCATCCCTAAACATTGCAATTTATTTTCAATTCAATCCATCGGTTTCAAATGCCTTTCTTCCACAATATGCTAGATGCATGCATAGACTTTACGCACTTTAGTTCAATATTCTCTTTGGCTAACTCACTTGCATGAAATAATGAAGTATAAGGTAAATTTAACCTAATCACCTAAAACTATTTTATATAACAAGTGGAAAAAGTTAAATCTGCTCTCCAGCCTAAGAATGTTATCTTCAAAGCATTTCTTCACGTTAATAAAGCAGAAATCCATTAAATACTAGAGCATATGATTTTATTAACAAAAAATGCATAAAAAGTTTACAATAAAGATCGAAGTTAAAAGATCAATCATAAAAGAGCATCAAGCCCGTGATAAACAAAGCTTGATTCTCAATTACAGCATAAGATATCTCAATTATACTCCACAAATTATAACTGCTACAATATATGAAGCCCCAATAGAAAACATGAAGATATGATGATTAACGAAACTTTTATCTAACCATTTTGCAACAATAAGAGGCGATTTCTTTGGAAGTAGGTCATCCATGAGAGGTTCCAAACTAGGGTACTGCAAAAATGATGAGAAATTATCATACATTTGGACTCTTAGGTCAACTTAATAAATAGTACAAAAACAAAATAAACAACCAGATCACTTACCTCATCAACAATGCTTTGTCGAATCTTCCGTTGCACAGATGCTTTCACTTGATTTTGTGCTGATATTTCCTCCAAGGTAAATCTTCAAAAGCTACAAGTAGTCAGTAAATGAAAGGAATTTTTCCTAAAATAACCTCATTCTATGGAGGATAATCCTGACGATTATCTATCCACACAAACCACACATAAGCATGGTTGTTTACAACATTGTTTTCTCACGGAAGAGTGAAGAAGAAAACAAAAGAAAATACATAAATATCAGTAAGATACTAATTATGGATCTATATAAAACTACATAATCATGAACTACTTCCATATAATCAAAGCTCGACAAAGCATGAAGAAATTGTTAATAGAAAAAATTAGAAATTTCATCAACACTATCATCTCTTTACTCATCACAACACAGAGTAACATGGGTAGATCTAGCATAGGGTGCTAAGGACACAAACCCCAACTAGCTCAGGCATGTGCAACCGAATTATCCAATTGTGCGACCTGGTTTTTCCTTCCTCAAAAAAATTTGAAATACAAGTCAGGAGTACAATTTTTGTTAAATTATGAGTAAGTCTTGACATTATCATATTTAATACAAAAATTATGGTATCAGTTTATTTAGAGCTTAATTTAAATATGTATTAAGGGGATTTACGTGGATTGGAATTAGGGGAGTAAACCCTAAGTTTCTTATAGTGCTTCCACTCAAATAAATAATTAAAAAAAAAAAGATCTAAGCCAGCATGCCAAACAGTAAAATCATAGCCCAACAGCAGGATGGACGCAAATGCTAGCGTCCATGGGGCAACAAGCAATCGCTTATCACTTATTTCATAGATCAAACTCACAAACACATACCCATGAATTTTAAACTGCTCGAAAATATCAAATTAATATCAACGCCCAAAAGTTACTATACTTTATACATCTCTTTGTCCATCCATCTCTCAGCATCAGCGATTTAACTGAGAATTTCTAGACCTTACTCAGAACAAAGCCAAAACAAAAAAAAACAAAATAACAAAAAAATATCACAGAAACCCAAGACAGTGCATAAAACCAGATAGATTTCACGCATCTACAATTTTTGAAACGACGCAAACTTCTAAGAAATCAGTTCGAACCCATGGTACGCGTGCAATGCTCAAAATCTGGACTGATTAAATGAATGAAGAGGTTAGGATGAAAATGAAGATGTGCAAAGGACCAGGAAACGTGTTGAAACACGGACGGAGCATAGGAGACTCACTTTTTGAACATGTTGCAGTAGATGAAACCCTAACAAGGAGACAGCAATGGCTAAAGGCCTAGTGGCCGAGCTTCCCCTCGCCCGGAGATCGCCTAGCTTAAAATTATTGCCGCCCGTAGTCGCGTTTCTCCGAAAAAAAAATCGTCAAAACATTTCACATCGGAATATATATATATATATATATATATATATAATTTACGCCTATAAAATTTTGAAACAACGTATTAAGTTATAATTAATAAATAATTGAAAATATTGTAAATATAAAATAAATATATTTATAATAATTTAAAAATAAATTTAAAAAGTTTAAATACTAACCAATTTTAATTTCGTAGAAAAATTATTAAAATAATTAATCTTTTTCAAAAGTGTGATTAATAACAAACCCCAGTTTTAAAAAGATTTTGATAAAACAAGGATATTTGATAGTCATAAATTAGAGTATTTTATATCTATATAATGAATTTTCAATAATATACAAGTGAACCAGGCGTTCGACGAGTTACTCGATGCTCTGCTCGATTAAAGCTCGTTTGTGATCATTAACTAACTAAACAAACAAACTTGAACAACATTTTAAATACTCTATCCTTAAATAAACAAGCTTGAACACTGATGTGTTCGGTTCATTTATGTTCACGAACAACATCATCTGAAGTTTGTGAACAAGCTCTACATTAAGCTCGATAAAAAGCTCGATAAAAGCTCGAATGGAGAGAAATGCAACATATAAGCTTCATTTAAGAATATATTCATATAAATTAATCATATTTCATTTTAAATAGACAACTACTTTTAATATAAATTTAATTTTTTGAAAAAAAGTCATTTCACATTTGTCTATGGTTGCGATATTATTTGTTTAAGAAGTTCATGAACAAATTTAATGTTTGTTAATTTGTTCGATATATTATTTGTTAAATACGTTCATGAACATAGCTCGTTAAGACTTGTTTGTTTAAAACTCAATAATCATTAAACGAATCAAATATGAACCAACATGAACACAAACAATAAAGCTCGAATCAAATATGAACCGAACTTGAACAAGCTAATTATAAACGAACTCAAACATAAACACTCGCATACTTAGATAAGTAAATCTAAGGCACGTAGTGAAGAAACCATGCAAATCCCTACGTCGATTGATGCGCACAGAAGGAGAGCTTGTCCATCTATAAAACGCGTATGCGAAGTGAAGTCGAGTCGGTCAATTGATAAAACTATGTATAGGGGCAGCCGAGCCGTATTAGCAAGCGTGACGTGCCGGACTGATCCAACACGTCTCTCTTTTTTGACAACAGAAGATGAGATGTACAAGCAAGACCAGTGGCTTCAATAGTACTACCGAGCTTGCATAAGCTCTTTTTTCACAAATCGAACCGCGCGAAATGATCGCCTCGGAATACAAGGCGCAAAGCGTTGTTGGCGTGTTGCGTCACAAAGGCAAGATGGCTCGGCTCGATTTGTTTGCAGCCCTATTTAATATATATATATTACAGATTAAGGAATTGGAACACGAATCAGATGAGAGATGTTTTTTATCTCTTACCACCAAGCCACGGCTCCATCCGCATATTTTAAAAAGTTCATAGGCAACTCAAATAAATTGTGTTAGATATAGTGGTGACTAAGAACAAGGCAGAAATTTAAGATTATTAACATATAATAATTGGGATTAAATTCACTCAATGCCTTATTGTTTTATCTAAAAAAAATAATTTTTTTAATAAATAAAAAAAAATTATATGTATTACGGTACAAAACACTAAGTTGATATATAGAATTTATTATCATAATATCATACAAAATTCTTGTAGCATATATAAGAGAAGTTGTGAATAACTTATATGATTCGTGCAATTGTTGATTACAACAAACGTTATTGATGACAACATGCATTAGTTTTGCTATATATTGTTAGGCAATATTTATAGAACAAAACCAATGGTGTTTTCAAATATATTCGAGCACAGACTAAGCACAAACTCAAAGATATAATGAGTTGAGCTCAATCAAGCTCCCTTTACACCACTAAGGAAAAATTATTAGGTCCGGACACCTGACGTAACTCTACATCCGGACGCCAATAACATTTCGTCACATGTTCTTACTCTTTACCGCGCGGCCTGACGACCCAGACCCGGTATTGCTATGTATTAGCTAATTTGTGCATACCAGAGTATTGCTCGATATTGCTCGATATTGCTCGGTATTGCTCGGCAATAACGAGAAATATCAATCCGTCAAGACCAATACTGAGCAATACCTAGTAATACCCCGATTTTCCTTGGTATTGCTCGGTATTGCTAGGTATTGGTCTTGACAGAGCGGTATTTCTCGTTATTGTTAAACAATACCTACCAACACCGAGCAATACCTAGCAATACCGGAACATAGAAATACCGGGTTCTGGGTCGGGTCGTCGGGCCGCGCGGTAAATAGCAAGAGCACGTGGTAACATATTATTGACATCAGGATGTAGAGCTATGTCTGGTGTTCGGACCTAATAATTTTTACACCCCTAAGACCCTAACAATCACCAACTAAAGTCCTCGTCTGGAGCTGAACTTGAATTCCAGTAAGGGAAAAATGAAACAAAATAATATTTTGAGGAAGTTTAAATACTGAAGCATAAATCTAATATAAGAGGAGTTCAATTCCAAAATCATAAGCACCACTTCCAAATCTATAGCAATTTAACAAACACCCACAAAACAAGTCTTTCTATACTGCTACTGCATCAAACGTTTCACCATTGAAATACAGAGAAAGCTCGACATAGATATCTCAATTTCAAAATATTATACTGCCCAGTTTTTGCTGAAAACCCCTCGATAATTTGATAATGGGATACGAAGCTTACAAATACACTAGCTCACTTGGCCTAAATGGGATAAAAATTCTGCAACAGATGAAGCATCAATCGACTAATACGGCCAAGTTCAATATTTGTGGTTGAAATTTACTTGTACAACATATCGCATCCTGATCTGTTCGACATTGTACACTATGTATTCATTGTATAGCAAGCTACCCTGGAAATGACAGATATACCATTAGTTAGGTTGTGGAGTTAGAGGTGTAAATTTTTTTTTTAGGGTTCATTCTCAGCTTGGTAACAATTTTTTTTTTTTTTTTTGACATTTAGCTCAATTAAGGTAAATTCACACATATTACATATGCAAGACTCGAATCTAAGACCTCTTGATTGGTAGTCAAAACTCTCAACCAACAGACCAAGATGAGCTGCGTAGCTCGATAACAATTCATATTGTCATGTTTGTCAAGCAAGCTGAACCTGAACAAAAATGGGAGATTTACATGCATACCACCTAAACTAATGTATTTACATATTTAACACCTAAAACTTTAATATTACATATATATCACCCATAGTTCATTTTTATATCAAATATGAGTGGTAGAAATGAAATATATGAGTGATAGGGAAGAAATATAAGTGGTATATTTGATATTATAATAATATAGGATGATATGCATGTAATATTAAAGTTTTTGATGTTAGATATGTAAATAGGATGTTATAAAATGATATTTAAGTAAATTTCCCAAAAAATAAATGGGATGAGCATTAATAAAAGTCCATATTTATAAATCTCGGTTCAATTGGATTTGACTAATGTAAAAAATAAGATTTTTTTAGATCATTAGCAAAACTTAGCTCATCCATGTTTGGCTCAATGGTAAAAAAAAAAAAATCAAATGGAACATGATCCAAGTTGGGTGATATTCGGCTTGTTTAAGGATGGAAACTAAAAAAAATTATAATCACAAATATTTGGGTATAAAGCAATCACCTTCGGGCCGTCCTGCTCTTTTGGTTGACCAAGGGGTACAACTAAACCATCATCAAGAACCTCAGCCTGTGACATATCTGGTGCTGTGCCTCCAACTCCTTTTGTACTGAAAAGATAAAAGCACTAATGATTTGCAACAAAATAATTGATGATTCCAGAAAATTTCCATCCTGCATAAATGAACAATGTAAAACTAGTTTTCCGAGTAGAAATGTTCCATTGGAGTTAGATTTAACAGCAGGGAAGAGAAGAGTTAGCTACTCTGGACAATTGATGAATAACGAACTTCTAGAAATTTAGGTCTTGTTTAAAGAATTGGTATGGGGACCAAGTTGGGTTAAATTACCAAATAATTTTGACTAACAGATTGTATTCATAGTAGGAAATAGAAAGAGCAGATTTGAAGTAACATAAATGAAAGTTGTTCAAAATAATCTTAAACAACATTCAATAAGAATGAATGAAAAATAATGCTTCGTGAACCTGAACCTAAATAATTGGGATATAGATATGCTAATGATGAAATTTTATACTAGCAAGAAAGTAGTTGAAAACAGAGAAGTAGGGCTAGAATTCTTTGACTTTCATATTTTCACGATTCTTCGTTATACAATGAAAAAAAAAAGAAGAGTGAATTATAATTGTAATGAGATGCATCTAAAATTTTTTAGAACCTTTTGAATAATTCCTCTATTTAAACGGTTCTCAAAAACTCGCACAAATTTTATCACGAATATGCTTAACAATGTATTACTCAACTAGTAAGAGAATGAGAGCCAAAAAAAACTAACCTCGACTTCCCCACTGGCAAGAGATTTGCGTGACAGTTTGAATGAAGTAGCTCAACCATATCCCCTAAGGCGACCTGCATGCTCAATCAGTCATATAGAACACATAAAATGTAATGTTACAACATTTAAAGGATATTAAAAGACTAACAACCTCACACAGAAGCAACACCCCTGAAGGAGATGAAGGGCTTGTACAGCAGTAATTTGCACTTTTTGAGAACATATCCGCAAAATAAACTCCTTTGCCAAACATGTAACCGGTAACTGGAGCCTCTGGGGGAGCAATCCGTAATCCTGATAGCAGTATGAAAACATGAAATTTTGTTACTGTACGTCTAATATATTATATATGAACGCATTACATTATAATATAAAATTGAGAATGAAATGAGTTGTAAAACCTACTAAGGCTTCATTTGAGACGGCTTTCTTATTGCTTCTTAAAGCAGCTTTTTTTACTTTTTTATTAAAAAGCTGCTTTAAGAAGCAGTAAGAAAGCCGTCCCAAACGAAGCCTAAATCCATGTACAGTTGTAACCATTCAAATCTGATATGTTAAAGGGTAGCTTGTTAAATTTCCAATGCATGTGTCTAGGAATATTTTGTATGCATGTTAATGTTTGAATTTGGTCTGAAGCGGGTCCCGGGGTTTGTGTGCGTGTTTTCCCTTCAGGCGTCACGACACTGAATTTGGCAGCACCGCGACATCATACTCTCTGTCTTTTGACCAAATTAGCTTGGGTGTTGCAGCGTTGATGGCGGCGATGCAACATTGGGCCCTTTTAGGGGGGAGGGGGCATTTTGGGGTGCAGGATAAGGATCAGGCGCACGGCGCCAAGCTTAGATTTAATAATTAAATATCTATTTCCAATATTTTAAAACCCATTTTCTCCCTTCAGGCAACAGGCTAGAGAGAGAGAGAGAAGGCTAGGTTTGGGCGACTTTGGTCCATTTTCTACTGTCAACACAGTTCTAAACGTTGTCCAGCTCAAGCTAAGTTACATTATACCTATCTTAATGTTTAACAATACAAAAAATTTAAGGATATTCTTGATTTAATTTATAATTTCGTTAAGGAAAACATGAAATAACTTGATACCTGCAAAACTTTCATAGTGTAAGTTTTTGTATGTCATTGAATTAGTCATTTTGAACATTTAGGTGTTTACTGGAAAAGTTCTACATGTTAATTTGAAAAATATGTTATTTTATCTATCTGTAAAATAAATCTAATATCAAAAAATAATGTTGTAGTACAATTAAAGTTTCTAAACAATGTTTTGAACAATCTTCTATAATCTGGTGAATTTCTGAAATATTGAATTCCTCAGTTGTTGAAATTATAGTCTAATGATATAGCACACTGTGAATTTATGCAAACTGATTTATTTATATTTCATGTACCGAAATACAATAATATATATGTTTATCTGCTTGAATTGTATAATTCTGAGGAATTTTAACGTGGGGCGAAAGTTCTATTATGAAAGTTTTGTTTTGGTGCTATATGCATAGGAAGTCATAAAGGCCTGAATTCTACTATATGGTTCTGATGGGAGGCATAAGGGTCGGAGGGTATTGGTGGGTGTGACCTTTTGAGCTATTTTGACTACTTGGCTCATACATATTCTGCCTTCTGTTTTAGATCTGGGGAAAGGGAAAAAAACCCGTTAAGTAGATGAGAATCCATGATTTGATTTGTTCGAGTCTGTCTAAGTATTTTTGATGATTTGTACAACCATGATTATTTATTCAACTTCTCTGTTTTAATCTATGTAGTCATGTACTATAGTGTAAATTCTGTATATACATGCTGATGAAATGAAAGAAAATTCGTGGAAGAGTCTATTTTAGTTATTTAGAAGCTTTGTTAGTTGTTTCAAATATTAATTGGAAGAATTCTGAAAAGTTCCCCGAAACTTAGATCTTGGACTTGACCTCTTCCAATTCAATATGGTATGACCCATCTGTCTATGAATCATATCAGGTTAGGTTGTGACACCAATAGAATCTATAATACCACAAAAAAAAGCAACTGCTTTCCATGACAGCAAATGAACAGACCGATAAAAGTTGGAAAGGGCACATATATTATGGAATGGTATGATGAAAGAGGTTGCACTGTTGGGATTCTTTTTGTTAAGGAAGCAAAAACATTTGTCCATTTCATTTGTCGGGTTGCAATATAAGCTATAAATCTATCAAAGATGCAGAAAGAAGTCCATTAATGTATACCGAGCAAAACAGCAATAATAATTGCATAAATAAAAAGTGCAGTTTGTTAATTGGCAGAAAAAAGTCAAATTTATATTTTTCTTTTTAACAAGTTGAAGATTAGCTTGGACAAGTTGAAAACGAAATGAAAGCTCAACCTTGTGATAGGATGCCAGTCCAATTTGTCAAGCGAGAGCCATGCCATAGAAGCATTCTATTTTTTAGATTGGAGAACTGCAAATAAGAAAGCAAAAAGTTATTATGCCTAATAAAAGAAATAAATGGTTCAGGTTTATAAGTTAAAGTCATTGAAAGTTGCCAATTTAAAACCCACCTTCTTGAAACGCTCAACTTCACCTTTCCTTGAAACACTAAATAAGTGTACAATCTCAACCGTGTAGCTTGAGTGCGTTTCTGCGTGAGTGTTTTTCAAGTACTTCTGTACCTGTTCATATGGAAGGCATGGGTAAGGATTAGGATGTGGACATACAGACCAATAATTAATTCAGTAAAACCTAAGCTTTGCTGGATTTCTAAAATTCTCAGCAAGAAACCAAGCTGTATACAATACCTCTCCATAAGCAAAAACTACAAACATTTGTATCTATCATTGGACGGCCAATAGTTCAAGACCTCAAAGTAATAGGTATTTTTTCAATTGTCCTATAATACCAAGTACTTAATTTACGTGATCAAGTGGGATGTAGTTATGTGCTTTGCAGTGTATAAACATTGTGGCTGGCTGTTAAATTCCTTAACTCAAGAAAACGGACAGTGGAAATATACTATTTTCCAATAATAATAATAATAATAATAATAATAATAAAGAGGAAGAAAGCATGCCAAAATGAGAATGACGCGACTCTAATAATATTCAAATCTAGTGATTTTAATCCTAGCATCTGTTCTAAGTTTTCTCTTCTATGTTTGAACGTTTAATGTTTTCTTATTCCCACTATCTCAGATTGATGTTGAATGAATTGTCTATTGGTGGTGTGAAGATGTAATACATTTGATTTGGCTGATAGGTTGGAGCAGCATGAGGAGATACTGAGAGGCCGCAACATGTGCTCCGACAAAAGCGTTAGAGATTGCTATATACATCTCCTCATGACTGCTACAACCTATCAGCCATATCAACAGTTCCCTAACACGCTTGTCAGGAGATGCATACAGTAATCTCCCACACTTATGCAAGTACGACAAATCTCCCTAATGCACTTGTCGGGAGATGCACACAGTTCCCTAATGCGTTTATGGAGAGATGCATCCATTTGTAAATGTACCAATGTTGACATGCAATGGCGGGAGATCAATGGAGAAGCCGGGGCGTGAATTTTTGGAGCCCACAATTAGAATAGGTATTTACCTTCTAACCAAATTACCTATGTATATATCTGCATGCATATATTTAAATTTATATGCATGTACATGTATATGTAAATATGCTTGTACATGTGTTATTTCTTTCTTTTTTATAATATGTAAATTTGGTTTGTAAGTATGTGTGTGCCCATATATTTGTTTGAATGTATGCATGCGTTTAATGAAATTGTTTACTATGCTTGGGTAGTAGGGGTATGAGTCACAATGCCTTCTCATAACTTCCATTTGCCAAATGGAAAACAGGATGGACTCATGAATGCTCAAATGCAACCAACTTACCAACGTATCCACTTATCAGACATGATCTCAGATTAGTGATAGATTTCATCTTTTGGTAGAGAATGCATCTATGCTATGTTTTAAATATTAATTACCACATTATCTTCTGAATAATTCCGTTGATAGTCTCCTGAAAAAAAACATCTGGACAACTTCTAAGTTAAAATTCTGTTGCTATATTCATGCATCATGATTAATCTGCTCCTACTCATGAAGCGTTGTAGTAGCTATGTTATCTTTGCTCTGTTTTGAGTTATGAGCATGGACAGAATATTACAAATAGAGATTACTTAATCACAGTAGTGCAAAGTATAGTCCCTGCTATCTCTTTCCACCTGTGATCACATCAACGATCAAGGTTTTAGATTCTCTGCCAGCAATGTGGTCCAGTGCAAGAAACTGAAGGTAAAAGCAGACAAAGTGTTGGACTTGGTTTATGTGATCATACGGTTGTTAACTTGTTATTGGTTAAACAAAAAAAAATGGTGCAGATGAGTTGAGTCAAAGGTAATAAACTGTAAAGGATAGAAAGATATATTAAAATATATTATCTATATTTGACTTTGCTCAGAGTTCTCAGTCCTTTTTTTTTTTTGTAAGGATTAGTTTAGTCAATTTGATTTTGAGAAAAAGCAGGCAATTTAGAGAGAAAAGAAGAAAGTAAAATTCTAGAGATCTCTTTTTTCTAATTTAATGGAAACTTTATCAATCTTTTCGGTCAACATAAGTTTATTTGAAGTCGAATCACGTAAATACTAACTGAGTTTGTGATTTAATTATATTTCTTATTTGTGTCTACTCCTACATATTGCTCTTGAACTGCTGATGCTTCCGCAAATCTTAACCTTTGGCACCACCATTTCAACATATGCGATCATAAACATAATAAAAAATAATATATTGAATGAGAAAAGAAATTTATAAATGGGTAATGGAAAACGGAGGATTGCACCACGTCATGAATTTAAAAATTGCTCTAGTTGCAAATTTGTTATTTAACGTGGCACCATGGTGGCCTGTTTTGCATGGACATTTCATATCAGAATATCCTTAATTTTATTTAGACTTTAGTCTAGGATCATAAGAATCCTTTCTTTTTCCTATAACCTACATCTGGGGAAAAAAGAGTTGGGTTGAATTAAAACACATAATTCTTTATCAATGGAAGATATATAATACTTTACGCATAGTACATATAGACACACGTTCATTGAAAGGATTTAGAAGGCAATATTTACCATAAGAAATTCCTTCGAGTCAGTTTCAACAGGAGTCATTTCGCAGCATAGGTGTTGATAGTGAGAATGCAAAGGATCGTCCTGCAAAAATAAAGTAAAACAGGGTAACTTTCACAAGAAAGTTTGCTTCTAAAAATGGCTTAGGGTACAAAACTTACAATCGCCACATTTACAGGTAAATAAAAGGTCATTCATTATTATGTTGCAAATTGAAGGACATCCGAAATAAGCATGATTATATATTAGCATACATGAATGAGTAAGCTTGGTATAATCTTGGGAACAGAGCTTTTCACATATATGCATTCTTACACAATATAATAAAGAGAAAAGATACAAAATAATTTCGGCACAGGAATAATCAAAAAGAGCACATGAGTAACCTATAACTCATAATAATTAAGATAAATTAATTCAGTAGACTAAATAGGAAAATATTGAAACATTAATTTCAATGCAATCACAGTCAAACCATGCCCAAGGAACTGACTATAATAAGAATCAAGAACAAGAAGACATTGGGACTAAAGCCAGCATATTCGTGTTCTTTCATGCTCTACACATAATTGATAGCTTGAGAATTCATTCGAAGTATTGGGAAGAATTTCAAGCATAACATCAAATTCTTTCAGATTACAAAAATTAAAACTGAATCCCTCTATTGAAGAGCACAACAAAACTACCAAAATTTGTATATCAATATAATATGCAAATTCATGGGTTTGTATATCATTTTAAAACCTTAAGTAGTTAGTTCTGTAAATGGTAAGATTTCAAATGTGAAGTATTAGTCATTGTTCTTGGTTCAACTTCATGGAGGAAATAACTATTCTATTAAATGAGCGCGAATCTTTGTCATAAAACACAAGAAAAATGCAAAACATCATTAATCTATTGATATTATACTACATTGAAATTCCAGGACAGAGGATCTTCCTCACCATAGGACTCTCCATCATCTTCACATTTTGATCATTCAGAAACTCCAGCGACAGCCCTTATTTCGAAGCTTATTACGGGTTCATTCCAAACTAAACAAAGAAATTTAAAAAAAAAAAGTACAATGGTTTGTTATTTATGAGTTGTTTGGTTGGCAGATAAACCTTTTTCAGCAAACAAGCCCCTGCAAAGCAAGTGAAAAAATTTAAGATGCATATATTCAAGTAGATCCTTTAAAAAATGGGTTGGCAAATAATCATGGCAGCAATTTACACATTCAAAAAGAAAAAATTTTTGTGTTGATTCCTTTATGTCAGATTTCTTTTGCCAGCAATCGAAGAAATGAGTTTGGAATGAAGTTTAAGGAAAACCTAACAAAAATGAAAATTGTACTCTGCTACCAACTACATTTTGGAAACCTTTTCTTACGATTTTTTTTTTTTTTTGGGGAAACCTTTTCTTACTTGTACATACAGATAGGCACAAATTCAACCCATTATATGCTCCACAAGATATTTCTTTTTTTCTTGAAAATTGTATGCAGAACTCTGTTCCCTAGTTCTTTTAACTCTCTAGATCGCTGTTATACTGAGACATCACAACAAGAAGTGTAAAGAATCCAATGCCATATGATTTACAAGTGACGCATTCTAGAATAATTACAAAAACAACTAGGTTTCATGCCAGGAATTAGGCGATGAGGCAAGCCAAGCCATTCACGAGCTAGCTAGAACACAACTGGTTAACGACCTCTTGAGTTAAGTTTATTGAGACATGAATTCAAATTCAAGCCCATATAACAACATTTATGCTCTGAGTCTAAGTACAAGTTTGACCAGAGTTCACTTGTCAGGCCACTCATTTAACATCTCGAATGAATACCCAAATTTTGAATCTAGATTCCTTCACTATAAAAGAATGAATGAATACCCCAATTTCTAATCACATTTCACACATTGCATGGGCGGGCGATTCATTGCAAGTGAAGGCAAAGAGGAATGGAGGCTATGAAACTCATGTCGAGCATTTTTTTCATATTTCAAGTGCATTCTATGTATGTGTTGACCTACATACCTCATGCTCGTCGAGTCCCAAAAATCTCATTGAGATGTTGCATAAATCCCGCTAAAATATCTGATATTCGATGTTGACATCGTCGTTCGCATCGTTTCCCAGGATTCACTCATTCTGCAGAAGCTCCCACTCTTCAGCACCTTTAAAACGCAAACGAAGTGAAGCCTTCGGGCTTTCCTCTTTCTATAATGAAATCCTTGGCATCCTACAAATGCATGCCAGAGGTCACTTTGAAATGCATCTCGTGATGCTGAATAATATGTTTAAATGAATTATCACGCATGTTACAATGCGTGTATAAGGGCATTTTAAAATATTTGGCACTAATCAATTGCGCGAGCAACTATCGTTTGAAGATGAGCAACGTTATATTTAGGAGCTTGTAGGAGCCTTCTGTTCGCTCATACAAGTGTTGCGGATCCAATGACGTGGCGCTACGCTTCAATGTCCCATGATTTTTTACTTTTGATTCTCTGATTTTACTTACATGTGGATTATAGCATTGTCACCAGACGTAGCCATGAGATACTTCATTATTCTAATGTAGGCTTTATCCTTATCCGTAGCAGCAATGACATAAGTTGCATTACGCTTCCATTGATAAGTTACAAGTGCACCACATAGTCCTACAAACTTCTTTTTTATCTTTAGAGGTCAGATTCATAAGTCAATCAATCTTTACTTAGACTGGATAAGGACATCCAAACGACATGATGTTGCTTTGTGATAAATGAGGTATCCTCATCTGATGAGACAAAAGGCTCGACTGATACGCTGTTGCATTTTCTTGTCTTCAATTCGCTACAAGATATTCCCCTCGAAGCATGAACAAGACAAAACACTGGATAGTTTTATAACAATATCATTTTAGTATTTGATACATGTATGAGACAAGGAAGATTCTTTTGTAGCTTCATAATGGTATATTAGAGGGCCCATTCTATGCATTTGTGATGCACGTGTAGGACACTGAGTTGAGGGACTTCATCTCTGGGTCTTCGCCCAAATAGCGCGGCATATTTTCAGGAGCCTTAGTGTTTCTAAAGAGATGATAGAATGAGACTTTTTTTTTTCAAGTGCTCATACTTTGATTCTACATAATCACTCATAAAATCATTCAATCTTGCACACTTAGTGCCACAACTAAGACCTTCATCTAGTGATATATCAATGGTCATCCTCTTTACATCGTGTTGCCCTTATCCCAGTTGTCACTATCACAACCTCCAAAATTATCAATTTGAGGATTTAATTGTACTTGACCAACAAAACTTCCAGTCCTGGTAGAGTGAGCATGTTTATATGCTTATAGGGGATCTAGCACATTCGCAACATCTCAGTCATAGTTGTTGTGGGTGCTTGTAGAGAGCATTGTTGTTTGCAAGTGAATTAATGTACCCGGCTGCAGGGAGCTTGTGCATCAGCTAGATGTTTGGTTATCATTGAATGTAAGGGCATCATCAAAATCATTGCACGTCCAACGTGCTCATCTGCATGTTGTTGTTGACTATTAGTGAAATGCATTTATTATTGATTTTCCTACACTTGTTGGTCAACAGCATGTACCGGATGTAGCGGACCTCCTACAGCAGCTCGTAGGTGTTTGTACCTGTTGTACATTTTCTACTCTTCCTTGCAGCTGGTCGATGCACTTACTTGACGATGCATCGATATTATTTGTACGAATGCTCCAGCATCTATCATATGTTGCATGCATAAGCGTACAATTATCATTTGCAAGCAGACTAAGTTGTTCAACTGCATATTGAAGTGGGTTACTAGTTGAATCACATTCACCACTGATTTCCTTTTTGCGCATGTTAGCTAGAAAATAGTCGCTTAATGCACATCTGTGATTTTGCTTTCAAGATAACATTGTACATTGATTTGTTAGATCCTTGCTTGCAAGGGGTCAATGTATTTTCATGATTGTCAGCTATATGGATGATTTAAAATCTGCTACAGGTTACTCATCATCATCCGTAGATGAACTATTATGCACAATATATCTCCCATAATTGCTTGCAGGGGTTCCTATACAGAGCGGGCTTCTGACTTCAACTTGCATACGTATTGTCACATCATAGATCCCCTACTTATGAATACACTGTAGTCTTCTTAAATGTGCTTGTAGGAGAGTCACTTAACTGGTGTCATATCCATCTTGCATATGAACTATCAATTCGTAGGTTTTCTACTTGTACATTTATTGCAATCCCCTTTATTGTGCTTGTAAGGAGATCCTTGGATCTGCATCATGTCCACCATTATCATTCACCGGCAGCATAGTGTGCTTGTTTGTGGTGGCAAGTTGTGTACAAGTTATACTTGCTTAAGAGCCTTCAAACATCTCTTGCATGCTCGGTAACTACTGCTTGCATAGTTGAATAAGCTTGGAGAGCATTGTTGCATTTATTGCATATTGCATTGTGCACATTTTCTTGAAATTGATTGAACGTCTGTGAGAATTGGGGGTCTTGCTCATCACGAGTTCCATGCTTGTTCATTTATATTTGTTTGAATGACTTAAATTATCATTGGGCACCTGAATTTTTTTATTTAATTGTGCATTTTAGAATTTAGGGTCCAGCTCCCTTTTTTTTCAAGTTATATTCCCTGCCATTCAGCTTGGATCAGGTTCCCTGTTGTTCATCTAAATTTTGTGCATTTTTACTTTAAATTTCATCAACACTCCAGCATATCCCCCATTTGGAAAAAATTTGGGGAGCTGGGCCTTCCCCCAGACTCTCACGCTAAGAAAAGCATGTATGATAGGTGTCAGGTGATACCGCGGCCATAGTCTTTAATCCAACCACGCCAAAAAAAGCGTATATTGGTCTTTAGGGTTACCTGTTTTTACCTACTTTGAAATGCACAACTATTTCCCCGCAAGCACTGATGCACACACAGGTACTTATTGTCCCCGTCATGCTAAGAAAAGCATGTACATGATCTATATGCCTCGTTACAGGTGTCACACCGGGTTCCCTCCTACAACGCTAAGAAAAACGTCTATATGTGATTTCTCAATGTGCCACGTGCGTCGAAGGTAAGATTTCAAGTTTGGGAGATTCTACCTTGGCAATCGTCAAGGTGACAATGTCAGCAATGTTGTTGGCTTAGTCGGTTGTGTCGGTTGTGTCGGCTGTGTGTTGTCGACTGTGTCGAGGTCAATGTCGACGACGCACGAGCCTCCAGAGTCAAGGCATGTTTCTTTTTTTTTAATTAAATGTAATTAAGCATAGTTAATAGTAATTAATCATAATTAACTATAATAAAAAATAAGTAATTATAATTTATGGTAATTAATTATAACTAATGATAATTAATCATACTTAATTATAATAAATATTAATTAATTATAGTAATTATAATTAATTATTAATGAAAATAAATTGTGATTAATCATAATTAACCAAAAATTATTTTAAGTTAATTATAATTAATAATAATTAGTTATAATTAACTATAACTAACATTAATTATAATTAAGAATAAAATTTATGCGATATTTAAGAAGAATATATGTTGAATTTGAACAGGATTTGAGTTAAATCCTGTTAAACAGGATTTAGAGAACTGTTAAATCTCACAGCAAGTTAAATCCTCTGTTTCCCTCTTTTGGCCGTCGGATTTAAGGGATTTGTCTAAAGAAGTGCATGAAAGAGAGAAGGTTGTTACCATCATAGTGAGCAAGCTTTGGTCGCTACTTCCGATCCAAAAAAATGGAAGGAACATGGTTGAAGAAGGCAAAGAAAAATTGTTGTGAAGTCTGCGAGATAGGGTTCGACTTACAGAGGTATTCGAACGACAATGGAGTTGGAGAAGTTTGGTCGTGAGCTAGGCCTGGTTTGATGGCTTGATTCAAAGGGAGCAGGGAGATCAGAGGAAGGGAGCTACGGTATCTAGAGTTCGGCAAAGCGGAATGAGCGTGAGGAAGAAGAAGGATTAATCATCGTTGGTTTTGTTTTAACGATGAGGGCAGAGGAGATCGTGGCGAACGTGCGAAGATCATGGGAGGCAATGTTCGATGTGCGAAGACGCGATGCAGGGCGTCAGATCTACGGGATTTTAGGGATTTCGTGCGGAGAGCAGTGACATCGATGTGTACGCCAGACATACATGAGATTTGAGCTTTATTTATTTATTTATTTATATAAACATCAAGCTCAAAATACCAATTCAGGCTCAAGCTTACAAGTAGAGCTTAAGCTCACTATGTATCAAGCAAGTCAAGTTTGTGCTCGACTCTAGCTCCATTTTGAGTGAATTATAATATATGTGAGTCAATCTTTGAGCAATGACTCGAGTTCAACTCAACTCGATTACATCCCCTACTTGGAATTACATAGAGATGGTATATGTATGGAAACTCATAATGATGAGGACATCGTCAAAGATCTCGACACATGTACCATCAGGAGACGTCGGAGATCGACGGCCACGATCATGAGTTTTATTTTGAGTCATTTTTATGTAGCAGTTTATTTTATTTTTATGTTTTTCCGTTTTTGCCCTTATGGGTAGTTAGTTGCTATTGTAGCCCAAGGGGCATTTTAGTCTTTTGTTTTCCTTGTCAATTGGAGGCCTATATATATGGTCATTTTCCTATGTATGACGGGTTTTTTTTATGAAATGAAAATTTAGCTCTTGTTCTCTTTGTGAGTTCATTTCCCCACGATCTCTTAGTGAGTTCGCCAGAGAAAACTAGATCTCTTAGTGAGTTCTAGTTTTCGAATTATCTCATCTTGTGGAAAATCAACGTGGAGACAAGCGAGGTTAGTAAATTCGTAGCCGTCGAAGCCTTGAAATCTCCATCTCTTCCTTTTCCCCTTGCTCTTGCCGCCGCCCACGCCAAGCAACTCAAGCCGCCGGCCACCCTGCCTCCATCTTCCGCTGGCCAGCTCAGCCGCCGCCGGCCACCCTCCTGCCGGCCAGCCGCCGCCAACCCCTTGGACCGCATGCCGCCGCCCCCTCTTAGCTTCCCCCTATTTGTAATTTTGAATTCCCTTCTCTTAATGATTTCCTAATTAAGCATAATTAATTTGGAAATTTTAATTAAGAGGGTTACACATATTTGAATATCAAATTCCCCTGCTTGTTCATTTGAATTTGGGAGTTACTTAGTGAAATCAATTCTGAAATTAAATTCAGATTTTTGATTATTGTTTGTTTATTCTCTTGTGTCCCCATGTAATTATACTCAAGCCCCTCTCCCTCATATGTGCCGACACCTAATGGGCTTTTCTCTCTCCCCAATTTAAATTCAAACGCCCACCAACAGCCCTAATACTCCTCAATAAACACCTCTAGCCATTAATGGTATTAATTTGAAGATTTCAAATTAATCTCCTCCAAAACCACCTTGAAGCTGATTTAATTCAGTTTTCTAATTTTTCCCCTCTCCCCTCTGCTCAACTGGCCAAAGCCCCTCCCCTCACTAAACACCGCCACCTTTGCCCCCCCTCAAGAAGCTCAAGAATAGATGTTCTCCACATCCATGGAAGGCCGACCCCGACATCAACCACAGCTTCGTCTTTGATGATCAAGGAAGAAAGGATAAGACGTTGGATGCTCTCTATTCATCCCATGGACTACCCGCCACCGGCTACCACTCCAACGGACTACACTTTGTGCGTCATTTGTCTCCTAGTGGCATCGCTCGGTTGACCTCAATCTTCCTCCATTAAAGTGCCACCAACAAGAGAGTGAGTGAGAGACCCAAGGTGAAAAGTTCTATTTGTTAATTGTGGATTATTGTTTCTCTCCATAACATTACTATCTAATTCTATGTTGTCAATTTGATATTGTCCCATTAATCTAGTTGTAACCACATGCCTTACTTAATTTCGACTTGATAATTCCGAGAACTTAATTCGGGTAAGCATTAATTCTATAACTAGCAAGGCTTTAACAATCTTATATTAAAATCCCCAAGCAATTCTTGTTTCCATGCATTACGTTTCACATCACATAAAGAGTGGAGGGCAACTAGTAGACGATAAATTAGTTCAATATACCACTAGAATCCCAATTCTTCAACAATTTCACAAATGAGTTCTTTTTTTTTTTTCAAAATCAGAAAAAAGTTGATTTCAAGATCTAAAATGTTTTTAGTTTTGATCTATGGGAGCAAAATAATTTATTCCGTTACTAACCTTCTAGTAGCAATGCCTTCATCGACAACAGCTCTAAGCATCAAAGTATAAAGTTATTGAGAAGGGCTCATGCACAATTTAATTCAAAAACGACAAAAGTTTGTTACATAATTGAAGTAGACATCTAGATATATGTAATAAGTAAAAACTCAAAACTTTAAGATTGAAAATGTGCACTGTGAAAATGAGCACTGTGAAAATCATTGCAAGCATACCAGAGATTCAGCATCATCTTCTAGAATCTTAGTTGCAATCTCAATCTCTCCTAAAGCTGAGACCTTAAGAAAAAAAAAAGTGAGCATAAGCCATGGGAAGTTCCAAAAAATATAAATTTAAAAAAAAATAATGATATATGTAAAATATATATATTTGTAAAATACTCCAAATAAACCAACAATTGTATGAATTTGAACTGATTGGCAAAAACTAATGCACTCATGCAAGCTTCATTCAATTTGTTATAGTAAACCTAAATCAAATAAATCATTAACTAAATTTAGGTACATTAAAAAGTTTCTAAACTCATATGTTAATAAGAAAGAACTCACTAGTCCGTTGAAGCCTATCTGAACCACTATGCATGCCCTCTAACAGTTACCAATTACAAAGTTACTTCATATCCAAAACAATCATAGATTCTAACAAAATCACAAAAGCCGTAGCTTAATTGTATTGCTAAGGAGAGCACGTACTCCATAATTCCATTATTTCGAAGATATCAGATATCAAAAGATAATAAATGCCGAAGAAAGGAAATTTGGAAATTGGAATATCAATTAGATAAAAACAAAAACAATTTGTTGTTTCTCAGAGCAGTCTGTGCCTTCAGTAGATAATCTATTATCAAGATTAATCTTTTTGGGAGATATAGGATTTGAGAGACTTGAGAGAACTATGATAAGGCTGTAGCAATCAATTCATAGAAAATGTATAACCACAAAATTTAAGAAATGCTTAACTAAAATTTACCATTTCCAACTTGCATTTTACTTTATAAGGAGTGTCAATCACAAATTCGCCTGCAACATTATTAGCAATATATGCTAGGTAAGGGCTACAGAAATTCAATGAAAAATATTATGGTTTAGCAAAAAAAAAAAAACTACACAAGCAAATGTACTAGAACATACGCATCTTTTTAAAACCAAAGTCATGAGGAATCACAGTGTAGAACTCCCTGCAAATTGAAATTAATTTCTATTAATAACCCATGGAGCAGTGATGAAATACAACTTTCTTATTCTTCAAAATATACTTATAAAAAAATATAAGAATGAGACCATTCTAGATCCTTTGACAACAATGATTAGCCAACCTGAATGCTCGTATTACAGACCATAGCAATCTCATCATTATCATTTATTTCCCTATGTAAGGCACGTAAAATAGACGAGTATTTTGTTCCCATATAAAAATACAAAAGTTGTCAATTTGTAGTAAATTGTTGACCTATTAAGAACCGAGAAATAAGGCACCAGTCTCATGTCATGTATGACACTGCCTGCACGTTCAACCCTAAATTAAAATACTTTTTGACATTTAATTTGCATGATTTTGGATCTATAGAGTTTTAAATTTAGCTAGATCACTACTGCTAACCTATTAAGCTCAGAAAAGCAAAAAAGGATAAACTTTATCACAAGTCCTTAGTGGTTCTAGTTCTAAACGTTGTTCAAGACGTGGCAAAACTTGCAGTTCTCGGTTTGCTAGCTTTTGAACCTGCAGCTAATTTAGCGTTGATTGTGAAACCCAAATTGAAGTAGAGCCTGCAATCAGGCACATAAAACTTGAAAACAAACGAAGTACGGAACTGTAAGGAACATGTGTAAAATCTTTATAGAAAAATTCAAATTGATTCCTAAAATAAATGTGCAACACAATACTAAATAAGAAAAATATCATTACTTAATTGTCCTTTACAAAAGGTATGCACCTACCATACCACACTAGTAGATGAGGCTTACCCACTTAATTCTTCGAGTTTTTTCCTGTCAGCTTTCCCAACCATGTCAGAGATTCTCCTCAAAACATCATAGCCCTATACAATTCAGTAAGTCCATGGAACTTTTAGAAAGATCAAACAAACTAGTGCAGATATATACTTTTATTATTTATAAACATGAGTGGAAATTAGAAATGAAACAATGAAAGCAATATTCATTATCAGCAGCAGCTGCCTTATGGAAACTATTTGGAGTCAGCTACTTGAAATTTTCTCAACAATTCATCCTTGCTTAGAGTTGAATTCCTATTGAACCCGGCAAACCAATTATTATTCCAAACATTACTACTGATGTAAGAGCTGGTTTAACTAGCCAGTTCAATTGAACCGACCAGCTTCTATTAGTTGAACCGTGCGAACAACAGAGAGGAGCTGCGAATAGAGCGTGCCTGGGCGGACCGCAAGCAAGCTCGGAGGCCTCGGACGTGTTCGTTTCGCAGTTCTGAGCAAAGAAATGCATATAGGAATGAAATGGAACGACTCCTCACGCGAAATAACTACCGTTTGCTCACTCCTGAAGAAGCGAATCGCATGAGAGAATTTCTGTCGAGAGAACTGAGAAGTGGCTGAGAGGAAGAAGATGGAAGAAGGTATTTTATCGATCTTTTGCATATTTGGTGAAATTTCTTCCATAAACTAAATCTAATAAAGAGGAAATATCTCTTTTGAAGGCAGAGGAAGAAATTGGAGGGAGAGATCGAATTTAGAGTTTAAAATTTTTCTATATCTGACGAAGGTGGAAGGTGAATACAAGTAAATCTTGTTTGACAGTGAAAGAGGAGAAGAAATTTATTGAGGCAACTTTCTTTGATTTAAAAGAAATTTATTTTTATTCTTTTATGTGGTTTTGGTTGTTGTGTGTTAGAGATGGATAGAGTAGATTGTGGAAGATTTAGATTTCTTCAATATTATGTTATATCATTCAATAAGAAAGTTGTCCTTGAAATGACTGAAATAAATTTAGAAATTTCTTCTGATAATGTTTTGTGTTTGAAGTTCCCTTAGGGATATCAAATCAATTCAGTAGTGTTAGGTAGACATTTAATTTTGTGAAATTGATTAGTGATAATTAATGAATCTCAATGCTATTTGGAACAGCAAAATATTTTCATAAGTGAACTGAGAAAAGTGATTTGAAGTCTATACCAAGCTCGAGATTGGAAGGAAATTAAAAAATGAAGAGAAATAAAGTGAGTAATTTCAATTGTTTTATAGCAAAGTCAGATTTACTTTTATGTTGTATCAATTTCTTTTAATTATCAAATTACTACATGATTATAGCATTATATTGATTTGATGGTTATTATATGAATACATTATTTGAGAAGGGTAAAAGAAATAGAAAGGTGAAATATTTGCTACATGATTTTTTATAGAACATAATAATACATCTAAAGTACTTAATATAGTTCAATATTAAATATACAATTAACTCGATATTGATTAAATTACAAAGATATATATATATATATATATATATTCTTACAAATTATAATAATATGTGAAGGAAAATGGAGCAAATTAAATGATGATTTAAATGAAAAGGAGAGTAATTAAAAGAAGGAAAAGGTATATGCATGCAAAATTACAGAAGTTCAATCCCGTATGGTACTAGCTGGGGAAGCAACGTATATGTGCACGTTAAAAGGAAAAAAGAAAATGAAAATGAAAATGGTTATACCTTTATAGGTACATTTAGACGGTGCTCTTGTATTAATGAAAATGAAAATAGATTAAATATCAAATGAAAATGAAAGGAATGTTAAGTGGAAATGGACAAATGAAACAGAACATGAAGTAATTTATGTGAAAAATAAATTTTAAAACTTATGGCATATGAAAGAAAATGCATATTTTATTTACTAAGAAAGATAAAGAAGAAAGATGTATGTTTATTTCATATGACTAACTATTAGGGTGTCAATTTTTGACACGACCCGAAACCTGACCCGGAAAAATTCGGGTTTGGGTCAACCTGTTTGCGAAACGAGTCGGGTTCGGGTTCGGATTTTTTACCCATTTGAAAAAACAGGTCGGGTTCGGGTTGACCCGACAACCCGAGATTGACCCAATATTGACCCGGATTGCCCTACCTGTTTTAATTTTTTCTGCCTGGGGGGAATCGAGGTTGCACCATGCCGGATTTGTCAGCGCCTCATCAGGATTTGACATAAATCAATCACGTCAGGCGTCACTCGAGACTTGCATCAACGCTGCACCGTCCGGACTCCAGCAATCCCACTGGCCAAACCTGTCGCATTGCGTCGCTGCCTTGAGCGGCTGAGCCCTCGACTACACATCTCGATCGCCTCGATCCAATCCGGCATGCCCGCCTCGATCCAATCCGGCATGCCCGCCTCGATCCAATCCGGCCGCATGACTGCACGAGGCACCTTGAGAGCTCGACCTGGCCGCCTAATCCGGCATGCTTGCCTGCCGTTTATTAAACCAAAATTTAAAAAAAAAAATAGTGGGTTGTCGAGTTGTGACAGATAACATAAAAGGAGAGGGGGAAGATGAAAAGACACAAGGCAAGAAACTAAGAAAAACTCAACTTGAGTTGACCCCCCTTTTGTCTACATCAGTTAGGGTCAACCCATTTACGGCCGAGTCAAATCGGGTTCGATCCAAACCCGACACGTTGACCTGAATTGACACCCCTAATTCACCCCTACTAACTATTGTATATGAAATGGTGAATATCCACTAAGTTTACTTAATAAATTTACTCTATTAAATTAATTTTTTCAAGTAAATTTTTTGAAAAGCAGAAATGGCTAAAAGAAAGGATTTTGTGTATAGAAGATGGCGCTCAAATGAAAGAATGTAAAATAAGTTATGTTTAAATGTATATTCAATGTACAAGTAGTGTTAGTGGCTCTTCATTGTTATATATAATTATGAAAAAAATTTATTAATCGTCCGACTATTTGTTCCTGCCTCGTTAATTCGAGCATTTGGGCCGGGTTATGACAACTGAGGTTCACTTTGACTTGTGCATTCCCCTGCTCTAATCTCATTCACATAAATTGTTTGACTCACCATTATTTCTAAGCAGAGGAAAAGCAATTTTTCATAAATTTATAGATAATAAAATGCCTCAGACCATATAATGTTAAAATACAAGAAACTAAGGCCTATAAAATCAACAGCTAGGCCCTCATTGGTCCCAATAATTTTTCATAAACACAAAGCACAAAAGAAGATTCAATAATCAATTGTTATGAATACACTGGGGAATTCAGTAAAATTAATGGCATTGGCCTATTAGCATTCATATATGAGAAATGGAACCAAGTATTCCTTAATATATATATATATATATATATTAGAATGGAAATGATGTATTATTAAGCTAAATATCGCATGACAAGAAGTAAATTTGAACTTTTACGTATAATATTCTCAGTTTTTTCCAAAGTATGCCCCAACCTTTATATTCTAGAAAAGATGCAAACAAAAGATGATTTTTGTGTGTTCTTACTTTTTTACTATGATGCACCGACGCTTCTCCTCAAAAAGCTGTGCAATGTCTGACACGTGTCCGGCACGACATACGTTCGAAAATCCTCTATCACGTGCCGGATACGCTGAAAATATGTCCGATTAAAAAAATATTAAATACAAATTGAACACGCGTGTCTTAAATATTTTAAGAATTTTTAAAATATAATTACTTGTATTATAATTTTTATTTATTTATATTAAAATTAAAATTATTAGTTCATATCCTCAACGTTAAATCAATCGTCCGCACGCAATGTCACATTCATCAAATATTCTCATTTTCATTTTTCCTTGATCGGTCGTGATTTTGGTTTCACAACAATGCCCTATGTCATTTCAACATCGACGTCTGACGTCATTACAACATCGATATTTTAAAATCATCTCAATATCAAAAGTCTGACACTGTCTTGACATTGATGCTTGACGCTAACAATTCTACACCCACAACTTGATAGCTCATCCTTATCCGATGTCTTTTTAACATCGACAACTAACGCCCTCTCAACATCAACGACTGACACCTCTTGACATTGACGTCCGATACTTACTGCATAACATCAATTCCTGACTCTCGGCATCATTGTCGTCTCCTTTCTCGATGCCTGATACACGGCATCGAAGCTCGACTCTCGATAACCTAATATTAATAATTTTAAATAGAAATTCTAGTTGAATGATTTATTATTTCTAAATTATTTTTAATATAATGCTTATTCAATTTTTATACACTATTTTTAAAATATAAAACTTATTATACCGCATCCAACCGTGTCCATGTCCAATATTTTCAATAATTGACGTGTCCAATATCCGTATTGAGTCGTATTTGTGTCGTCATGTCCGTGTCGGTGCATCATAGCTTTTTGGTGAGAATTATTCTGTTTAATTTTATCGATTTACTTTAAAAAGAATTCAGTTTCATATAAAATTTTCTAATGAATAGCATATCAAAGTGATATAATACATAATTATGTACTTACAATGGCACCTTTTGTGCAATTATGAATCACAAGTATTTCGTAAATGTCATGAATTTAAACCTATCAGATTTAACTAATGTAAAAATGTAAAGGTTCTCAATAAGCATATTTAGCATTCAATTCAAGCCAGATAAAATTGGCTGAGGTTTGATTTTCTAAGGAAAATTATAATTTCAATATGAAGTGATAAAGTACATCACGAGCCTTACGTCAGATATATATGAAATTGCAGAGATAATGATTATAATATAACTAAACAAATGTTTTTCCTGATTAATCAACAAACACCTATGGATGACTAGGTTCTCCCTCTTTTACAAAATATATGGAAAATATTTATGGGGTAATTGATTATAAAGAAATCATTGATGTTTGAAGTTGAAGGACTAGAAAAGTAAAGAGTAAAACCTAGATAACATAGTTATCGATCATGCAAAAATGAGTTCTACAGAAGAGTTGATACTTCAGCAACAATGTGCAACAATAATAAGCAATGAATAATAATTCATAAAACCGATCAAAATTTGTTGAGATTAGGCTGAAGATGATGCTGAAGAGCCAATACAAGGAAAGATTAACTAATTTCTTTCTAAATTTTCAAAATCAAATAAATCTATAGGAATTAATTTATTTTCAATATATGATCTAACAAACCATCTAATATTTACCAAGAGAAAAAATAATAAAAATAACTAGTACAGAAGTTTCATATTCTACAACCCAAACATGATGTGATATCGTGATTAAATATATTTGCGTACAATAAAATAGACAAGAAACACACACTTGCATTGTAAATCTTTTCTTCTCATTTTATACTATTCAAAGGGAATACAACACAACATAGAAATAGCTCTTTACTGGTGATCATAAAGTTTCGTAAGCACTAAATTCCAATTATAATTTAACCCTTCGGAAGGCAAACAATATGGTTCTTAAAAATCAAAATAACACCATGAGCACACCAATGACTCGGTTGCTCAAAAATAAAAGAGAACTAAACTATTGGAAAATTCCTATTTTTTTTTTAAATTCCTTTGTTTGGACGAAACTCTCAGCCAACTAATCTATCAGAGTCTATCATGTTCTATGAGGTAAGAAAAATAAAAGAAAACGCTTTTATCCTAAAAAAAAGCAATACGGTGTTGAAGCACATGCCTTACCTTCAGAATTGTCGATTGGCTAAGCTTACCGAGGGGCAATTTCTCAGCATTGTAACCTGGTTAAAAAAAAGGGGAGCAAAAAGCCAGTTATAAATAAAACTAATAAATTCAATGAATATCCAATGCTAGAAAGCCTAAGCTTCAAATATGCACAAAAAAATATTTTTTGAGCATGTTAGTTTATCACAAATAGTGCATATACATGAAGAAAAGTTTACAAGGTTGCTTAAAGAACATGAGACTCTACATGTATAAATCCTAACTTCTTAGGATCTTGCGGATGAAAAACATAATGAAGTATTCAAAGCTAATAACACCATAAATCATTATAACCTAAATAATTGCATACTTCTGGAGTTATATGTTATGGCCGGTCCTGCAGTCGACCCAGCGGCCAGAAGGTGGACTAGCAGCAAGAAGCAAGTCAGCATGGGATTTGGCCCCCCATGTGGGGCCCAGTAAGCCAATCATTCCATATGCAAAGAGGTGGATTAAAGAAGGAATTAATGGAGGAATTTTGAATTCAAATTAGAGAGGGAATTTAATTAAGGTAAAAAAGATATTTTAGGGCTGATTTGGAAGGAAGAAGAGGGATTATATAGATGTTATTTTGTATTGGGGTAATATTTTTATTGAGTTTTTTTTCTGTTGTAGTTTTCTGTGAGGGCTTCCTAGTAACATCTAGGTTGATTGGGAGATACAATCTACCTCTTTAATTGTACATTGCTTGTATCTTTTATTTATTGTCAAGTATTAATAAAAAAAATAAGCCACTATTTCTTCCAAATTCTGCTGTTTTTTACTGTTTTTTTCTGTGAACTTCCTGTTGTGTTCACAGAAATTTACTCCAAGGCGTATCAAATTAAAATTATAGCACTTTCTTGGGCGGAAAACCAAGTTGTTTTTGCTATTGTAGCCTAGATCCGATTAATGACACCAAAGAAGATGGATGCATTAGAAGGCGTGATGGAACAACTCAAGGTCGGAGTAGAGGAAAAATATTCTGGGGTGGAGGGAAGACTCTCAACCATTGAGAACCGCTTTGGAAACTTAAAAGGTATGATGAAAAAGATGTTTGAGATGCAGTCGAAAAGCATCACCGGCAATTCCTAGGATGGAATCAAGAGGAAAGGAGATTCAGGAGGACGGTGATGAAGGGGAGAGTGTTTTTCATCAAGGACCGCCATGTGGGGTTCCTTTGGTGGGCGGATCGGGGTATTCCGATGGGAGGACAACAAGGAGGAGGGAGGCTGAACCTTTTGGGAGACTACCCGGGCATGGGAAGAGGTGGAATGGAGAAGGGCATGGTTGTGGGGAGCCATGGGGTCCAACTCAACCAGGGAGGAAGGAAGGAAATCACACCCCCTCTCCTGGTTCAGCCTAGGAATCGCCGGAATACTCCAAGGCTTATCATTCTATTTGAAGTTTACATCCGGTCATCAAGAAAATGAGGGCTAGCATTGACAAGAAAGGGTGAAAATCAGCTTCAATTAAGAATATTTATTTTTTTTTTATTTCTTATTTATGAGTCCGTCCTCTAATCTCTGGGGAACCTTTTAACTTTTGCTACAATGACTTGCACTAGCATGAATGGTACACAATGCCATCAAGAAATGAGGATATCTTCAGTAGTCCAAACAGATGAGTGCCTTCATATGCTATTGGAGGAGAATTACCGGTGATTAAATATTTCAAAATAAATTTGGACAAACAAGAATGCTTCAGGTTCCCCTTCCCAACCAAGTTCACTAAGTTCTTTCTAAAGTACCCTCAGTCTTCAAAAACGGCATGAACAATTATAGTAGAATAAATTCTTAATGCGGGGGTATATTATCCATATTTTATACTGCCTGACTGATCAGATACATACGATAAGGATATGATGTTACTTCTCTTTGCTTGCTGTTTTTAATTAACAAACGCATCACTCATTCAATAATGTAAGTGTATCTAAATCATCCCAATAAAATGTTCTAGCATTGACAAACTATGAAGTGCAAGTAATGCGATGCAAATAAATGCATATAAACGGCTTGCCTATCTCAAGCATCTGTTGCTTCATCATGCTGACATTGCAAATAACTGAGATGAATTTTGCAATACGACCCTCAAGTTTTGTCTCTCGAAGTTGAGTATCAACAGATTTTATGATCTTAGGTGGCATCTGATGGAAGCAGGCCAAATAAAGATTAGCAAAGGCACAAATATTAACAAACGTCAATGCAAGCTACAGTTAGCCGATAAAAATAAAATGACAAAATCCAAAAGCTTTCAAATAAAATCTATAACAAATTACCTTCTCATCCCCAGCTTCACCATAGTCCATCTCTAACAAAGTATAACATTTAGGATAACAAACAAAGTTCTTTCTGCTGGACCATTGATTCTTTGTCTTTTCAAAGAACTTGATTTGAAATTCGTTTATTGCTCTTTCCCGTGTGAAAGGACCATGCAGTTTGTCTTGACCTTTGACTCCAACTCTGCCCCATCTACAGTAAACCATGAACTTGAAGCCATCATCAGATTCTGCAATTTAGTATTACATGGAGATTTCAAATATATTCCTGGGCATCAAGCCACATGAAAGTCTGCCTAAATCTATTGTTAAAAAGCAGTGTAGAACCATAACCCCACATTATCCCTTGAATCTGCCGTGAAAAAAAAAATTTCTCAAGTATTAAACAACAAATTTATAAAATGAAATCCTAAATTATGTTTCATAACTCTGAGACAAGTGCACAGTGACAAATTGTTTTATCTTAAATAATGTAAGATAGTAAAGTGGGAACAAGGCGTTGCAATTCTCAAATTTAGAAATCCCAAAAATCTATTGTTACGAAGTAATAGAGCACCAAACCACAAACTATCCCTTAAATCTACAGTCAAAAAAGATATTCCCCCTTCTCAAGCCACAAATTTCTAAAGTGAATCCCTTAAATTATGTTTCATAATTCCTGAGTCAAGTGCACGGTGATAAAAGAAATAGTCTATGATTGAAAGAGTGAGTTGCAATACTGAAATTTAGATATAAGAATGCAGAACAAGAACTTTAACCAGTATGAGATTTTTCTGACTTAAAATGTGTAAATTAGTTAATTATATGTTGCAGACTCAAGTAACCATTGGTCTAAACAATTGGCATTGCTAGGAAGAATATAAAACAAGCAACAGCCTAATGGGAGTTCAGTAAGTTTTTGTAATGTCAGTAAAAAAATGTGAGACATAAAATGGAAAAAGAATTTAGTAGGCTCTAAAAAGGAACCTTATCCATTTATAAATAAAATAATTCAAAGTAATGGTCGATTACAAGAAATTGATGGCATGGCCAGATAGCTTGATTATGATGTATCGCTAACCAGAAATTAGTGATAACAGCAATGACATATGCAGGAACTTGAATGCCAAATCTGCCACAATTGGAGATACCGCTCTTCTATTCCTCATTGCTGGATATATTTCAAATAATTGAACGAATCATGTGGTACAGATTTCTCTTCTAAAGTTTATGATATGATTATATTAAATGAAGAGCCCTTCAAAAATGTACTAAGCCAGACACCAATCATAACATAAATATCATTTCCAAATCTTCTTGCGCATGCATCTATTAAAAAGTTGTGCGTCCGAATATTTCTTCTTTATGACATAAATTCGTAATTCTCGTGACTAAATGCTCCTTTAATATATGCCATTCCAGAAACACAAAACTAACCATAAAACATGAAATTAACAACAAGTAAACAATATTTGAAAAGAACAAACCAATAGCAACCAAGAAAGACAACGAAGAAAAGAATCTATAATTTTCTCAATTAATAATTATAAGTAAAGAAATATGCAAAAAATTATAAACATGTAGAACAATCCTAAAGCCTAAATCATCCAAAACTTATTAATAATGTCTCCAAAATTTGTCTTATTCAATTTAGCATCCTAAAAATCCTTATTATTTATAGCATAAAGATCAGTTCCAAATATTCTTGCGCATGCATGCTTTTAAAAAGTTTGGGGTCAAATGTTTGTTCTAAATGTCACAAATCTTTATTCTTCGTGACCAATGTTTCTTATTATATGTCATTCTGGAAAGCACGGAACTTAAATGTAGAGAAAGAAAAACATCATAGAATAAAAAATATTCAGTAAAAAAGGATTACTAACAACCAAAAAAGCAAACAAAGAGAAAAATTTATAGTTTTATCCAATAATAATTATAAGAAAAGAAGTATGCAAAAAATTATGAATGGATAGAACAAACCTAAAGCCTGAATTATATAAAACTTATTGTTATTATCTCCAACATTTGTTTGATTCAATGTCGCATCATAAAAATCCCCTCCCTGCAACAAAGAAATCAATTTTTTAACATAGATAGTGTCAATCAACTAACTAAAAGATTATCATTTAATCTCCAAAAAAAATAGCTCATCATTTGAACTCCAAATTGATTAAAATTGAGGAATGACTCATCCTGTAAAAAAAAAATACCTAACTGAACTATACATATTATGCAGTTAGAGAAATGATATTGACCAAAGCATCCATAAAAGCCAATCAAAAAAATGATTCTTGTTTAGGGGTTGTTTGGTTCAAAGTAAAATTGGTGTCAAATATTCCCAAATGCGGGGATTTTGAAAATATTGGTGTTTGGTTGGATGAAAACGGAATGCAAAGTGTAGTAAAGTATGTAGTGTAAACCATTTTGGTTCATTTTTTAGGTAAATTAAACTCGTCCAGTTTTGAGCGAGAACTATTAACATTGCAAGCAAACTCGCTTGATCATCGCCACTGGCCTCCGGCCGCCACCCGCCGATACCACCGCCGTCGGCTACCAATATCTTTGGACTTTAAACTACATTCATTTTACTTAAAAAAAATAAAAAAAAAACATTCACCAGCATTTACTTTACACTCATCTAAAACAATTCCAAAAAATTTCTTTAACATTGTATTCCTTTAACACTACATTCATTTTTTAGCCAACCAAACAGCCCCTTAATAGAAAATAAGTTTATCATGTAAGTATAGTGACACTAGAAAAAATTCATGTTATCCAGATTAATTACAATCACTCCCTAAATTGAACCAGTATAGGTAAATAAAGATCTCACTAATGAAATAAATAGCATTAAGCATGTTACAAAACATTTATGCAATGAAAAAAAAAACCACAACAATTTTCAAATATCAATGATAAGAACGTCAACATCATCAAGCTCATATAAATATTTACATTCATTTTACACTTGAAAGTCTAGGAAATTCAAGAAATTTTGTGTGGCTTTTAATCATAAATTACTTGCTCAATGTTTTGCACCTGATTCTTTTCATTGTTTGTGTCACTCAAATTCATTATAACAGAACAAAAAGCTTCTTGCATAAGAAAATTTCAAACTACTAACATAAATTCTATGCTTCATACTCAGGCTAGCGTGATATTAACCTCATCATTTTAGTTTGAGATTCAACATCATATGCAAGTTTAGGCTGCATTGATATGGAAAAAATCCAATGGTAGTTAAAGGGAAAAACTGGTTTACAGGGAAGAGTCCACTAGGTCAATATAAAACAAAAAATATAAACCCTACAATCTAATAAGCACTTAGGTGTTAAACATACAAAATAACAATAGATGCCTTCAAAATTATACAATAAGCATAGCAGAAAGATGTGTTTTTGAATGTCGCTTCCCATGTGTATTTGGAGTTGCATTCTGCAATCCCATTACCATCACTACAATGAGAGGATTATACTATGTTTCACCAACTACCACACTTCTTTGAGTTCATACTGTATAAAAATGCACAACCAAGTTCAAACGTGAAAATAAAATCAAATACAAATAATTAAACAAAATCTCAAATATTTCAACAAGCGGGATAAGGGGAAAGGTTGATCAAATGAAATGAGATTTACATACATTTTGCAAGACATGGTAACTCTTCTTTATATCATCTGGAAGCCATTGGTCCAAAACAGCACCTCCCTTCTTGGTGGCAGTGATCAATCTCTCCTCTTCAATCTCTTGAGGCACCTCCTCTAACAATTATAATTAAAACATCATAATTTAAATCAAATTGTTCCTCTTTTGCCCACAAATGTAAAATTTGAGGTAGAATACATGTAATTCCCTTCAATTAATTTTTATTTATTTTTTAATCCTATAATTTTTTTCAGATAATACCTATTACTCCATTTCAGACAACAGTTGATTCTGCAATCCACTCATTCTTCTATCTTTTCTTCCCTTAATCTAAATCCAAGGGAACATTTGATATCATAAAAAAATACTTGTTAAACTTTGAACTCAATAGGAAAAAAAAAGATGAGGAACTCAAAAACATTTGATCATAAGTGTAAGAAAACTGTTCTTAAAGAACAAGATAACATCCATAAATTAAAAGACAATTCATTTGGTCATATATAAAACGCCAGATACTTCATATTGACTAAAAACAGAGTAATCTTACACAAGACAACATTCAAATTCATCATCTGCAAAACAGAATTTGAATATCTTGTTGTTTATGAATAATCGTCTAGCACTCATGAGGAGGTCCTGATCTTTTTTTTTATTTAATTTAATTGAGCGACAATATAATGTAATTATCCGAATGACTAAAAAAATAAACGTATGTCAAGATTAAGTTCCCCAAAAACATAAACAGCTGAATCAGCATTGAAACAAGCAATTCAAAATTAAGAAATACTCACCTTCAACGGTCTCTTTTGGGATCTTTGCAACACCTGAAAGCCTCTTGACGAGCTCCATCTTCGTTCCAGTCGCCGAAACCCCGAATTGCGCGGCCAACGCCTTCAACTCACGCACAGTATACTTCACCAGCTTCTCTTCGTCTAAGTATTCCTCCTCCTTCTCATCATCAGCATCGACTTTGGAACCCCTCTTCCTCTTCCTTTGGCCATTCGATACCCCATTTGAAGGGTTGTCCTCAACAGGATCGGCCTCTTTTTCCTTCTCCTCTTCGCTCTGCAACGCCGCTTCAAGCCTCTTAACCTGGAATCGGAACAAATGAGTTCCAGGGTTTCAAAAAGAGAAGAAGAGTGAAAAGACATGAAGCTTACGAGGATGGGTTTGGTGCCGGTAGTGTCCAGACCTCGGAGTGAGAGCTTGGCTCGGAGCTCATCGACTTTCAGCTTGGAAGCCATTTTTCTCTTACTTTATCCCTCTCTCTCGCTTCCGCGCAATGAGCTCTGAGGTTTGAAGAGAAATGGAGCGGTTTGGCTTATATATGTTGCTAACAGAGGAAGACGAAGCTTGCGAGAGAAGAAGGGGACGAAGCCGGCCGACGCTCTACGACAGTGTGCGCGTTGTCATGGTCAGGTCATATCGCCACAGAAACGGCTACACAGCTGACTTTTCAAATTATGATGAAAGAACCTTTTTGAAGAATTAATTCCCCATCGTGCTTAGCACATTAGTAAACTATAAAAATCAGGCAAAATTTTAAAAGGAGCAAAGTTTACAATTTTATTAGGAGTAGGAGCATGAAATTAGTTAAATTTAAAAAGGAGCAGAAATGCGATCCTACTTTGCATTTTCTTCAGAAAACGCAAAACAGGCCTGCGTTTTGCATGAAAATGCAAAGGGTCTTCCCGTTTTCTTCATTATCGGACCCCTACTTGCGCAAAATCTGCCATATTTCATGCGGACGAGGCAGTGCTTGGTGCTTGGACCCGGCCAGAAGCTTAGGGAAAAGGTTTCCCGTGAATGAACATTAATAACGTGAATGCACAGGTGGTCCGTGACCTTGTATCCAAAGGAAATTTTTTTTTTTTTAAGCTTTATGTGGCCTATAAATAGAGGAGAATGTGGAGGAGAAAATGTTTGTTTGGTTGAAGTTGAGTTTAAGGGAACGGCTTAGTAAAAGAGGTTAGTATATAAGATTTTTTAAGATGTTTGAATATGCAAGTTACAATATTTTTTTGCACTTTGTTGAATTATTTTGTATAAGTATTTTGCTTATTGTACAAATTTTTTAAGAAAATTTTTTATAGATTTGATGTTCAAATATTGGCCTGGAAAAAATTGGGAGTATTGTTTAAGCAATAATGTTAGTACGTTTTGAAATTTTTTTGTTTATGATTGTAATGTTGTACAAATCCGGCGTCGTTTAGGGAGACCTAGAACTAATCGTTATCGTAACAGTATGGATGAAACCCGTGCATCCTCAAGCAGAACATGCTCCTTCTGTCATAACAAGGGTCACAACATTGCTACCTGCCCAACTAATCTAAGGACAACAACGAGGAGAGATTAAGGTTATTGAGAAATTGTAATTGATATGTTATTTCAAATGTCATTTTGCTTGTACTTGAATATTTAGTTAATGTAATGCTGTTTTTTTTTTTTTTTTTTTTTTTGCATATTAGTAAATACTGTAAAGACTTTGATCTTGCTTCTACTCGTCTCAATAAGATTCTTTATATTTTCAATTAGACGATATGGAAGGTAGAGGGGAAAGAGGTCGGGCACGACGATCTAGACGAGGTAGTCGTGCACAAGTAGATGTGCCAGAGGTAGAAGAGCTTCCAAGCATAAGATTATTAGGGATGCTCATAGAGCTTCATGCATTAATGAGGTAATCTTTCTCCCACTATATCAACTATAATGAACTTTTTCATCAACTCATAATTTATAATTCCACAGGCTGTGTATCTTGTGGCTTCAACCCATCTACATATGGCACGTGAGTGGCCAGTTCGTTGCAGATGAATGCTTCATGCACTTCAGATCACAGGGTTGGATTCAATTAGGCACCAACAGTTCATACAATTAGACCACGCTTTAATAGGTGCATTGGTTGAAAGGTGGTGTCCACTAACAAACACCTTTCACTTACCGGTGGGGGAGATGACGATAACATTACAGGATGTTCAGTTGCTCTTGGGCATCAGGATAGATGGTGCGCCAATTATTGGTAGTTCAGTAGTCGGAGACGGGTTACGTTGGGATACATGGATAGAGTGCTGTAATGAGCTATTGGGGTCCCACGCAGACCCAAATGTTACGTACCATGATCCTGACGATAACGATGTAGAGGTTATCTTCAGAATGGGGCATTCACAAGCGTACTCAATTATACCGCTTCGATGGTTACGATGGACCTTTTATCGGGAGTCATATGAAGATTTACCCCGACATGTGTTCCTTCGACATGTTAGGGCATACATTATGTATATGCTTGGTTGTTATTTATTGCCTGATACATCCGGATCCCACGTGCATATGCAATATCTCCCATTACTTGAGCACATAGAGAATTTTGCCCATTACTCTCTAGGTTCGGCGGTATTGGCACATCTGTATAGAGAGTTGAATCTAGCGACACGACCTTCGAGAATGTACATAGCTGGATGCCTACCTCTGTTGCAGGTATGGGCTTGGGAGCGGATACATGTTGGCAGGCCAACACTTCGAGTTCCATACCCACGGGATATCATTGGAAAGCCCCTAGCTTTGAGGTAATTTGGCATTCACTAAAACTCTTATGATGTATTTTTGTTAAAATGATTAATTTGACAAACATAAAATTATTATAGGTGGGCTGAAGGAAGAGTGCGAGAAGTTCCACTTGGGAACATGATGACATACAGAGATGAGCTGGATGGACTTCAACTTAGCCAGGTAGCTCTAATTTAAATCTACCATATCATCCTAGTAAATATTAATTTGTAATTTTATCTCTCAACGCAGGCAATATTTATGCCTTACTCGGATGCTATAATGGGCATGATGCCTGCAATATGCCATGAAGCGAACAACCTATGGATGGCTCGTGTCCCATTGATTAGCTGGAAACGGGTAGAGTGGCATTTGCCTGACAGGGTGATGCGACAATTTGGAGGCATTCAACCTCGAACAATTGAGCCCATGGAGCGTGAATTTCGACGGGTTGATGGGAGAGGCCGAGCTGAGGTAGATTGGCTTCATTATCATAGAGGATATATTGAGTTATGGAATAACAGATTAGCACTAATTACAACCATCACGCATCCATTGGGAGATGGTCAGAAGGAGTTATCAGATTATTTACAATGGTACAGATCTTGGGCTTCCATCTACCTACTTAAAGCGGCGACAAATCCACCAGAAACAATTTATCCTAGGTCACCGGGGGAGAGGATAGTGGTAAGTGATTTCGTACATATTTAAATGTTCCGTCATATACAAGTTGATTATATTATAATTATTAATAAATTTGCATTTATAGGTTGATTACTTCTTGCGTAGCAAAGAAATTGCTGAATCATATGCTACGGGTCAGATGGAGAGTGGGGGGTCTATAAATCAAGGATATGCTGATATTGTCGAACTTACAAGACAAGTGGAGCAATCTGTATATATTGATACTACTGGCCGGCAACCTCGACGAGGAGGACGAACTTCAGTAATGGAGCAGCCAGCAAGGAGATCTACATCTCATAGTTCAGGATTACGTTCAAATCCTGTAGATCCGCCAAGACACTCTATGTACGTAGGATCAGCTGATTCTGGCCGACCTTTAGGGATGACGGGAGCAGGGCCTTCTATAATACGTGGTGAAGGGAGTTCATCTCAGGGCGGAAGAGGAAGCCATTGGACAATTCCAGAATCACAATGGCCTGGTACAGCATCTTCGTATGGGCGAGATGCTCCATATGACTTGAACAATCCCATGTGGACGACACTATTTGGTTGGACAGGAACTCCATCACAGCATGGCATAGTTGCTGAAGAAGTCCAACCTGACATAAACAGTACGGAGGAGGAGGTGCATCAGGACGAAGAAGAAGAACCTCAGCTCCAGAGGAGGAGTAGGCGGGTACCGTCAAGATACACCCCCGGTACAGATGCTCTCAAACCAAGAAAGAAGCGTTAGTAAAAATTTAGTTAACCTCAATGATGTATTGTCTTAAAACTTTCATGTATTGAAGACAGCTAAGGAATTTAAAGGTAACCCTGCACGTCGAGAGTTAGGCTGGAATTATGTACAAGAAGGATTCCCCCTTTTTAAGCACCACCTTGTGGCAAAAGATTTCTTAAAAGGTCGAATTCTAGAACTTAGTTGTGATAAAGACAATACAGTTGCACAAGGTATGGGAAGGTCCATGATGGATATAGATAACTGTATTTTATACTCTAATTGGGATAAGTATCATGATAAGCACATATTAGATTCGTATCAACAGTTGTTACAAAATTCTAAAAATTCTAAACCGAAGGATTTTCTTAATGGAGAAGATTGGCAGCAAATACAACTTCAATTTCAGATCAACTTCAAATGTTGTCCTACACAAACACAGCTCCAGAATCGTCTACGATATCTACTTAACAACATGAATCAGTAACTGAACTCATCATATGTATTTTATTTTCTTATTGACCTCATCATGTATTTTCATTAATTTGTGTTAATTACTTTTCGCATTACTCTCAATCCAATCTTTCTATAAAAAATATGAATAACAAAATTATGCGTTCATATTCTCATAATAATAATATATATACAAATACAAATAATTTTAAATTCAATCATATCTTTTAAAGTAAATTCTAGATTATATACAACTTATTTTAAATTATATATTTTAAATTTTTTTTAACTAATCTTAAAAATATATTTTGCCTTTTTAATTCTAATCTCTCAATTAACAAAACTTTAATTATATTTAATAATATTATTAACATCTTTATAAATAACAAAACAAAATATTAACTCAAGCTTTTAAAAAACTAAATTATTAAAACATGTTTATAATATTTTCATGCAAAACGCAAACCTGCTTTGCAATATTTTTAAAATACAACGTTGCCACCTACTAATATTTCAAATATTTCTCATAAATTAAACTTATTTTTAATTAAAATTAAATATCTTTTTAACTTATATTAAACTTATTCTTAAAACAACTAATAAAATAATTTAGTAAAAAAAAAAAATTACGACTTTAGTAATGTATTTTAATAATATTTAAAAATTTATAAATAAATAAAGTATATTACATATATATCAATTAAACTATATTAATTTTAAATATTATAATTATGATTAATAGTTTTATTTCAATTTATATTTAAATTAACGTTAACATTCATATTATTTATTTAAATTATTTAAAAATAATAATAAAAACAAAAATGCCACTTATCTTATTTTTTATCAATGTCACTCTCTTCCATTTTGAAGAAGTTTGGAGAGGCAAATAGCAAATACAACATAGTATGGATCAGTAATACGGTTGCAAACTCTTCCATAGCATGAATTCTATTTTTAAAATAACTACAAGCATTTCTGACACATCTACTGTTTTCTATGCTTTCAGGGTTAGAGTTTCTTCAATCATTTAATCTAATAAATTTGTTGTTGTACTTATTTGCATGTATTGTATATTGTTAAATGTTTTACCTATATTTGCTTCTATACTTACTGCATAAAAAATATCCAGTTAGCATCTTCATAAAAATCACCCTAAAAAGTAAAAGATTAAAAACTGATCTCAATAGTGACGTATATCACTAACCCTTCCTTCCAATGCAGTTTAAACTCTTTTGCTGAAGAAAACGCAATTGTCATTTGCATTTCCATTAAAAACGCAATCCTGCTTTTCATTTTCTGAAGAAAACGCAAAGCAGTTCAGAAAATGCGATCCTGCTTTGCGTTTTCTTCTGAAAATGCAAAGTAGGATTGCGTTTCTGCTCCTTTTTAAATTAAATTAATTTCATGCTCCTAAACCTAATACAATTATTAACTTTGCTCCTTTTGAAAATTTTGCCTAAAAAACGCTTCAAGATTAAATATATATTTTTTCTAATTATGCTCAAATAAAGTCAATAAATTGAAGTTCGAGATAAAATTTTAATTGATCTGACTGAACAATTATTAGGTCCGGACATGAGACGTAGCTCTATATCTGAAGGTCAATAACATGTCGCCACGTGCTCTGACTCTTTGCAGCGCAGCCCGACGACTCGACCTTGACCAGAACCCGGTATTGCTATGTTCGGGTATTGCTAGGTTTGCTTGACAATAACGAGAAATACCGCTCTATCAAGAACAATACCGAGCAATACCTAGCAATACCGAACAATATCTAGCAAAACCTCGGTATTGCTCAGTATTGTTAGGTATTGCTCTTGACAAAATGATATTTCTCTTTATTGTCGAGTAATATCGAGCAATACCTAGCAATACCCCGGTCTGCACAAATTAGCTAATGCATAGCAATCCCGGGTCTGGTGCGCGGCAAAGAGTAAGAGCACATGGCACCATTTTACTGGCGTTCGAACATATAGCTACGTCAGGACACCGGATCTAATAAAATTTCCTGATTTTGAGGCTTATAAAATAGCTTGAGATTAATTCAAAATATAAACATTATATATTTCATTAATATTTTCATTATATATAATCAAATATTAAATCAATTAAATTGTAATAAAAATAAAAAAAATTGGGCTGGCTCCATTGAAATTCATATTACTTTATAATTAAATAAAGTAAATCAAGCAAATTCTAGTTACATTAGCTCAATTCAAATCTCAAGCTCAATTTGATTCTTTTTATATATATTTGATTTAATTTTGAGATTACAATTATGATTTCCCCAATATTGAATTACTTCGTGCGAAACTACTACATTAGTGAAAGACAGAGTTATTATCTAACTACAATGATTTATGAAGTTTTTGGGCTGTGGACAAGATTGCTCCCTAAATTTACTTTTCCTACAAAGCTTACACATTATTGTTGTATTCTTCATAGATTTAGAAAGAAACATTTGCTATTGGGATCTGAGATAAAAATGACCCTTTCAAAATTTTGAAAATTTTAAAAAAATTTCAAAATGATTGAGCTGGTATCATAAACCTCTTAGAGATTATGCTAATCCTTTAGTAGATGAAATTTATCAAAGTATTAATAGATCTGCTATTCATGTTAATAATTTTAAATTAAAATCTGTCATAATTCAAATGAGTTAAAATTTTTAATTTGGGGAAACTCTTGTTTAAGATTTCAATTTATAGTTAGTCAGTTTTCTAAAAATATACGCAATATGTAAGTATAATGGTGTCAATGATGATGTTATTAGGCTTCCATTATTTTTATTTTCACTAAGAGACAAGGTTAGGATGTGGTTAAATTATTTACCCCTAAGCTCAATAACCACTTGGAATGAGTTGACTTATAAATTTCTTACTAAGTATTTTCTCCTTCAAAAACTGCTAAACTTAAAAATTATTTCACATCTTTTACCCAGTTTGAAGGATAATCAATTTATGAAAGTTGGACGAGATGTAAGAAAATACTCAAGAAATGCCCTCATCACACCTTACCCGATTGACTGGTTATTCAGACCTTTTGGTATGATATCTTAAAATAATCATAGATGTTGCAGCTAGAGGATCTTCAATGTCCAAACCATTTGAGGAAGCATATGAATTAATAGAGGAAATGGCTATTGATAATTTTCAATGGCCTGGTGATAGAGTAAATCCTAAGAGAATAGTTGAAATTTATGAATCGGATTCTTTGTTAATTTTAACTGCACAAGTTGTAGTAGTTTTCAAGAAATTGAACACAATATGGATCAGTTCAGGATCAATATCTGAATCATATATGCAATTGGAAGATCAAGATTTAACTTTTATTGGAGATAGTGGTGTGTAAAGGATTGAAAATGTGAATTTAATTGGAGGACAAAACTCCAATACATATAATCCAGATTGGAGGAATCATTCTAATATTAATTGATAAAATAATTTTGATGGTGATCATTAATAAAATTTTGGTCAAAATAATCAAGGAGAAATTTATAATATTCCCCAGCAGCCTATTATTAATCCTATACCATCTTATTCTTCATGATTAAATCAAAATAATTTGTTTAAAAATAAAAATATATATATATATATTAAAGATATAATAATCCTCAGTAGCCTATTATTAATCCTAGACCATCTTATCTTTCATGATTAAATCAAAATTATTTGTTTGAAAATAAAAAAAAATATATATTTTAAAGATATAATGATGCAGTTAAGAACTCAATTGTAAAGTTAAGTTGCTTCTGTTAAAAATTTGGAAAGTCGATTAGGTCAGCTTGTAATTTCATTTAGTAATAGGCCTCTCAAATGGTTACCCAGCAATACTAAAGTTAATCTAAATGAGAAAGAAAAAGATCCTAGTAGAAACCACATATTTTGAGCCTTTTTATCATTCATATAAGAAGTATGTGTTATTAACTATATTTTAATTTTTTTTGTATTTACATTTTATTTAATTCCTCTTAACCTTACACTTTTATGTTGTCTTTCATTAACATCTATATTTTAAATTGTAAATTCAACAAAGAAAATAATAATTAAAAATTATGTAAAATTAAGATAATAATAAAAAAATTATATTATACTTTAAATGAACATTGTATTATAATTCATACAATAATAAACTAATAATTAATAAAGTTAGATGATTTAAGTTATTAACTTAACTTAAATTTATAAGTCATACATCTATACATTGACCTTTTAATTGAAAAATGAATCATTAATGTTAAAAATAGATAGGAGTATCTTAAAATTGAAAATCATGGTAACTTAAAATTGGAAATAGTGATCTTATTATATCCTTACAATAAAGTTATTAAGATTGTAAGTATTATAAGCAAAATTGATGTTCAAAATAATTAACTATGTAAATTATATGAATGAAACAAAAGATTATGATAAGAAATCTAAAAAAAAAAAGAAGAAGAGTACATTCAAAAATTAGTATCAATTAAAAGCTTAAAGTCAAACTGCAATCTTATACTTAAATATACCAGAAATAAGATAGGAAAACTAATACATATGATGATTAACTAATGAATTTCAATCATAACTACACATCTATTCTTTAAAGGTGCATTATTCATTTAAAAATTTAATAGTCAATGATTATATTCAGAACATATAAATTCAAAATAAATAATGGTGACGATAACCGGATAATATAATTATTATGATTTTTAAAATTAGAATTATAACCTTGTTCATTTCAATTACTTTTAAACCGTCATGTATGATCCTATATTTTAGTAATTTTACCATCAAATTTTATTTTGGTTATTAAATTAATTAGAAATGTATATTTTTTTATTTTCTTAAGGACAAGTAAGAGTTTAAGCTGGGGAGAATTTGATAAGTGTAAATTATGTAATATTTATAATGTCTAAATTTCAGTAAAAATGTGTTGTTTTAATTATTTTTATATAGTAAAAATTCAACAAAGATAAAAACTACAAAGGAACATTCTGCACCGTGATGCCAAAGGAAACACCGTCACTACACTACATTCAACACCACTGAGGCATTACTTTTGGACATTGTAGCTAGGGGTGTTAATTTTGGGTCACGATTCGGGTAAAGGTCGAACACGGAACTGACCCGGCACTATTTGAGTTCAAGGCAACTCAATCAATTTTTGCAAACGTGCCAATTTTTCAAACCCAAATCTGACCCGTTTCGGGGTAGGGTCAACCCGAGCCGACTTGCATATTTGTTGGAGATTGCACAAGTCGCTTCTTCGGCTCCTTCATTGCAATTCGACAACGGGAGCTCTCTCGCTGTGAAGGTAACTTTCTCTATTTCATCGTTATTGTTCGGCTTCGTTCTGACTTTCGCAGGATGACAGGAGGTGTGGAGATTGCACGAGTCGCTTCTTCGGCTCCTTCATTGCAGTTCGACTTCGCACCTTTGACGACGGGAGCTTGCTCGCTGTGAAGGTAACTTTCTCTGTTTCGTCGCTGTTGTTCGACTTCGTTCCGACTTCTACAAGATGGCAGGAGGTGTGGCGCTTGCACGAGTCGCTTCTTCGGCTCATTCATTGCAATTCGACTTAGCTCCTTCAAGGCTTCAAAGATGGGAGCTCACTCATTGTTAAGGTAACTTTCTCGTTGTTGTTTGTCTTCATTCCGACTTCCACATGAGGTGTGGAGATTGCACGAGTCGCTTCTTTGGCTCCTTTGTTGTAGCTTGACTTCGCTCCTTCGAAGACGGTCGCTCGCTCGTTGCCTCGCTGTGAAGGTAAACTTTTCCGGATCATTTGGGGTAATTCCCGAGTTTTCGAGTCGACCCAAATACTACCCGGTTTGCAAACGGGTCAATTTTTTGAACCCGAATCAGACCCGCTTCGGGTTCGTGTTAACTCAAACCCGAAATTTTCGAGTCGAGTCCAATATTGACACCCCTAATTGCAACACCATGCTCTCTGTTTGCAAGAGCTATAGCGGCAACAAATCCAACAGTGCAACATTCAAAGTGATGTTGTGTCTGAAAGTCAGCTTGGAAGCGCCCGGTTCTCAAAAAATCAAATGACGTGGTTCCACAAATTTTGATGCCTCGGTGCAATTTTGTCCACTTGGGCGTCGCAGCGCTGCAATTTCAACAGTGTCGAGGCGTAGTAGTTATAAATTTTAAGGGTAACATTGTTTAACTGAAAGATCACTATTTTTCTCTAAACAAACTGTTCCACATCACCATCAAGTGTTCCAGGTGAGAAAACATTTCAGCATCGAGGTGCTAGTTCAATTTTACGCGCCGTAACATCGCAACAACATATGCCCTTTTATAAATAGATGTTTTGATCTGTTTGTAAGAGAGTTTAGTCACTTGCATAAAATTTAGTATTTTTTAGTGTGCTTTTCTAATATCCTCTAAGAGTAAAATCTAATAGAGGAGAAACTTTGATCCTGCTAGGTGATAACATTCCAATATTTTTCTTGTACTTTGATTCTTCTATGATTATAATGAAAATGATTTTGCTTATCATTTATTCTATGTCTAGCTAAATCTCTTGTTTTGGATTGATTATATGAAGAGCATATTAAAGTGCTAATAAAGACTCTTGTTCTTTAAAAATTTAATGATATTTTCAATTATATCACATTCTTCATTTAATACACATAATGATCATATGTAGTAAAAAATCAAGAGTGATGAATAGGCTCAACGGAGGAATGCAAGAACAATCAAGAATATTAAGATAGAATGTTGACATATCTAGACATATGATGTTTGAATATTCTAGGTTCTTAAGCAAATATTATAACCGTAGGAGTTCAGTATATATCATTTTCATCTCAACAAGCTCGACAGAGATCTAAAAATATACATGCTCTAAATCACATCTACAATTAAAAGACCATTAGAAAAAAAAAATTGCATTCATCAATCTAAAATATTTTATCAAATATTATATCAACTATTTAACTATTTTGATCAAGTGATTGAAGTTTCAAAAACATCATTTTTATTTTAGTTGCATTAATTATGCATTAAAAGTAAGCATTAATAATTTTATTGCAAGAAAATATAATAATTCCTTGTGAGTTCGACAGCCTAGTTAATCACTTTATTACTTGATTCGGCACGTATACTTGCATAAATTTAAGTCATATTTCATTGTTAACATATCAAAGAAAACCTAAGCATTATTCAACATTAACCGGCACAAGCATTCATTATACTGTCTATAACAAAGCATTGCTTGCATACGCGTACAAGTTCACACACATCCCACATCAATTTGCTAGCAAATGACCACCATGTGGTACTCGAGCTAGCCCATAATCGTAGACCAACCAAGGAGAAGCTAGGTTGAGAAAAAAACAATTATATAGGTGAAACTTATTGAGGATTGACTTATGTAATGGCTCATTTTCACTATAAAATGTGGACTTTAAGAAAATATCTTTCTCAAAAGGACCATCCGAAAGTCACATTCGGGTCCGTTGTTCGGGCCGTCATTTTTAAATTTCGCACGTGCCATAGTCCCACTCTTCGCCGGGTCGGGTATCGGGTATTGTTGTTGCCAGGTGTCGCGTTCACGGCTTACCGAAGGTAAAGATGCGTCAGGTGGGAGGACGCAATAAAAATTCTAGACAGTGAGAGGAAATATAGTGAAATAAAATGAGAAAAATCTTTAGTGGCTCAATTAGTACAACTATATAGGTGAAATTTAATAAGGAAAAGTTACATACTAAAAAAATATAAAAATTATATTGGCATTATTCACAAAAAGCATTGTCTTCAATAATATATCAAATGTACAGTAAGTAGAACTCTATTATAATTGATTTCAATTAGTGAGCCGAGCCAGTTCGTGCTTAGCTCGTTAACGAGCTCTCAAGCTAAGTTTATTAAGTTTTGAGCTCGAACTTGAATAAATTTTCAAACTCATTTGATTATCAAGCTCGAGTTCAATCCACATGATGCTTGGCTCAATTACTCGTTGAGCAACACAACAGAAGAAGGTGAGGCGGTCAAAGCGTGGGGGTCTGCGTATGCGAACCCCAAAAGACGGACGGAAGTGCATGAGTTTGCGCAAGAGAACCACGAAGGACAAAAGGCAAGTCGGCTGACCGCAGAAGGCTTGCGAGCTACTCATGAGCTCATTTTTAATGGCACAAGCCAAGCTCGAGCCCGACTTGAGTTAAAGCTCGGGATTTAGCTCGGGAGTCGAACTCAAGTTAGGTTGACTCATTTGTACCCCTAATTTTAATGTAAGCTTTAAATTCTTTGCTCTTTTTAACAGAAAACAAAACTCAATTCACAGCCACGGGCGGTTTTGGATATTGTTAATTTATTTTCCTTTTGCAGGGAGCTTATACCAATAAAACATATTTTATGAGATAGGAAATACTTAAGACGAAAATATTGGTATCAAAAAGAACAACTTGCAGGTTTCTCAAAGTTAAAATCTTAAAAGAAGCAGGCAAATGAAGTAGCAAACAAGTAAGCTTTTAATCTTCTTCCTCGCCCTCGTTCTCAGCAATGTTGAAGTACCGCAGCTCATAAACGTTCCGGTCTTTGTTGGAGGCAATGACTCGAAGCCAATCCCGAACATTATGTTTTTTCAGGTACTTCTTAGTGAGGTACTTTAGGTACCTGGAGCAACAAGATAAAATTTTTTTAAGCAGGTTCAAATTAATAGAAGAGTTTAAAAAAAACCATTTTGATAGCCAAGTTTTTTAAATTAAGGCTTCCTTTGGGACTTCTTTCTTTTAGCTTCTTAAAGCATAATTTTTGTACTAGAAAGCTGCTTTAAGAAGCAGTAAGAATGTCATCCCAAATGAAATCTAAATAATAAAAAACTACTTAAACTTCAAGATTATAATAGAATGTGTGGTAATTCTTCCAGCAGAGGAAACTGGCTAAAATCTAAACAAACATTTACTTGCAGTTGCATAAACAAAAGGGGGTACTCTAAAAGTTTGAGACTTTTAATATTTGGTTTCATGTTATTATCAGTGTAATCTAAAACAAATGGAAAAATTATTTTGTGCGGAGATCAACCAGAGATCAATCAGAATGCGCCATATCACTCCCTGCTCAATATCTGGCTCAGTACCGCGGCTCAATACCGCTCGGTACTAGGCTAAGTATTGCTGACATGATGCATTCTGGTTGATCTCTAAATAATAAAATACATTCAGTGTCCGCATAGAATAATTTCTAAAACAAATGAGAGAGTTTGAGACTTCTAATATTTGGTTGGAAGTAAAACAAATAACAAGTACTGTTTCAAGAAATTTAAAATATATCAGCTAGTACGGTTGGAGGAAATCGTTTAAAGCTTTGGTCATGAGAGTTCTTCACGAAGCTGTAGCAGGATACCCTGAGCACTGACGACACTGCAATCTACCTCCCTACCACTAGCACGCTCGCGTCCCCCTACAACCTGCGACAGTCGCCGGCTTGCCTCCCTTGCTCAAAACCCACTCACAACCCCCTCATTCATGCAAATCCTACTCGGCTTGGAACCACCTCTATGCCACTGCCATCGTCGCCGCTACATCACAATCAACTATCCTCATGTCTGTTCTAAGTTGTCCCTCCGTGACCCAGTGGATATACTTATCATTGTACAAACAAATCAAGGACAGGAATCATATTTCAATAGCATTGATATTTCCATTATGCAGTCAGCAGAGAGTGAAATTATATACAACAATGGAGTAAATTACGTAATGCAACAAAGCCAAGGTTATAAACAGAGTTGTTAATCGTTTGAAGGCTTCATGAAGTGCCCAAAATATGGTGAGAGCATGCCCACCAATTCCTTCAAACGTTTATTAACAGGAATGATGGACGGTAACTTGCATATCTAACACATGTTAAATTGCATCCAATGTAGGTTTGCAGCACAGTTAAGGGGAAGAGAACTGCAGGCAAATATAGGGAGAGTGAAAGGAGAGAGAGAGAGAGAGAGAGAGAGAGAGAGAGAGAAAGAGAGAGAGAGAGAGAGAGAGAGAGAGGAGTCAACTCCCAGAGGAACTGAATTAGCATTCAATTCTGATAATAATACACTCCTTGTCTAAGGGCCGTTGTCATAGTAAAAGAAACCTTGGGTATCAACAAGCAAAATAAATAAATCTTACAGTGTGAAATAACATTTATACAAAAATAGCGTTAAATTATAAAGCATGTTAATTCAATGTAATGCAAAAATAGCGTTAACTATTTATAAAATATAATGCAGGATTTTGAAAAGAATTATCATCAATATTAATCTTATCACAAACATAAGGTTGGCTTAATGTATACTACTCTAGTGATACATATTTAGTCCCACAAATTCATAGTTTGATAGACAAATCGGACATAAGAAGGTAAAATAACTGGCAACCAACAAATATGACATCTCTGAAGGAAACCTAAAGTGTCAAAAGTATTAAGGGCTGGAACGATGAATTTCTACTGCAGTAACACTTGTTGAATCCTACAAATTTATAATTTGGTAGACAATTTGGGCTTAAGAAGGTGAGAAAACTGGACAACCAAGAACGATGAAAATTCTAAAGAAAACTTTAAGTGGGTGGAATTTGAGCGGTGGTGGAATCAGGTGTGGCGGGGCAACTCTGGCCTGGCAGGTTTGGGATAAACCTCTTAAAGCTATGCATAGCAGCTTGAAGCACGGAGGAAAATAAGCTTTTAAACCTGCTAATTATAAAAGGTGGTACCAGTTAAAAACAGCAATCCAAAAATACACCTGAACTCAATCTTTCTTGAAGAAGTCACTTGACCACATGCAGAGTGTAAAACCAGAAAAATCTCAATTTTAGACATTGCACGCTTTTCAATGCACCACAACTAAATTTAAGTGAATTTTTCAAAGTCCTCGGAATTTCACGAAAAATTTTTACAAAAATCTATGCAAAATTTCAAAAAAAAAAAAAATGATATATAGAACCTATATTGAATTTCGCTTAATTTGAAAGTTAAAATTCATAAAAAATTTATAACGCCTAAAATACGTTTTAATAAATAGTTAAGCAAATATATGTAATGTGAGGCAAATTGGTCAATTTCATAATCCCTTAACAACCGAACATTTAAGGGATTGAATTCTATTAGGTCCCTTATTTTTTTCGTGCGACCAGAAGGAGGCGGAGGCGGAGGCGGAAGGGAGAAGGGCAATTGAGAGATCCTAGAGCACGGTTCCCGCGGCGGTTTCTGATGGCCGAATTTGGGGGAAATCGAAGGAGTCAAAGGAAGACTAAAGTATGCTTTATATTTCGAATTTCTCCTTTTCTCACAAAGATTTTCAGAAAAACAAAAATCTAGGGTTTGTTAAAAACTTAGAATTTCAAAGGCAAACTTAGGGGAAATGTTAGAGAAAGCAAGTTAACCACAAAAATGAAGTTTTCCAAAAAAAATTGTTGAGTTGGAGAAATTAGAGTTTTCATATTATTGTATTTTTAAGAAAATTTCTTAAGAGGTAAAATTCTAAATGATCATAAAAGAATTTCTAATAATAAAAATTAAAATTTTTCATAAAATCTTTAATTTCATAATTTTTATAATAAAATAATTCAAAAATATATTAACCTAATTATTAATTAGGTTAATGGGGAATTTCGACATGTTTATATGATGGAATTAATGAAAATATAATTTTAAAAAATATGATTTTTAAATAAAACCAAAAATAGAAATTAAATTAAATTATTTTAGGTTAAAGTAAAGAGATTATTTGGATAAAATATGAATTTAGAACAAAATCTAAATTTTTTAAAATTTAGATTTATTTAATCCACAAATATTAATATTAAAATTACAAATGCAATAGAAATAAAATTTTGACAAATGTTTAGATAATAACAAAAATATTTACATACTTTATGTGTTATGTGTTAAATTAAAGGGAGGATGAGAGAGATAAATATAATCTATGATAAGTTCATAGGAATAGAATAATTAAATTTGAGATGATTAACTTTAGCCTATGAATATTAAATTATTTCTTATAGGTGTTAATTGTTGCAACCTCAAAGAAAGGAGATCAAATGAAGTAAATCAATTTTCCAATTTCAAAGTGAGTAAACATGTTTCTATAATATTGATAATTTTATCATTTCAATTTTTATTTAATTGTATTTGAATAACATCTATTCATTTTACTGCATTTTAAATGATTTCATATTTCATATTATGTGATTCAATATATCACTGTATAAGACATATGATAGAACTTAGTATTATGATATATGAATATTATATGAAAGCTATATTGAGTGATTTCATATGCACGTTGAAATGATGGAGCTCATCCCTTTATGATACTAGCTGGAGACGCTGTACTCGTGCACGTTAAAATGGTAAATGTTTGAAAAAAAAAATAATAAATGGAGTATCTTTATCGTACTAGATGGTGACTCCTGTAACGGTTATACTATATATGGAATGAGAATATTATGAATACTGATATGATGAATGTAAATTGAATATAAAATGATATGAATTTATAATTTATGTGCATGTTTAATAACATGTTTATAAGAAATAAAATTTATGATATGTTTAAATGAAAAGTGACATTTGCACTTATTACTCCTGTCATGAATTACTATATTTTAGATGCATGTTTTACTTATTAATCTTTGGCTTACTGTTAGTTTTTCAAAAAAAATTCAGGTATAATTATTTTAATCATAATGAATAGAATGAGATGAAATGTGTATAATATGAGAAGCGGGGCGGAAGAAAGGTAACTATATTAGTCTTAATGATTTTATGTTTATGTGTTATCGAATTTAATATTTTTATTGGATTTTTCAAATGTTATGATGATAGATTTAGAGATTAAATATTTTAGTCTACCGTCCGACCTCCATTCCCGCCTTGTTTATATGAGTTTATCGGATCAGGTCGTGACAAAAATAATATTAGAGCAAAGGATTTAAGAATACTAATCAATATGAAAGAGAAAATATGATGATTCTATAGGTTAGAGAATGTATAAGATATGCATGTTATAGACTACTAATTTTATTTCAACGCGTTATATCTCAGAGCCTGGGATCTTGAAAAAGATGCCACCGATGATAATACGAGAGAAATTAGGAGGGAGATACCAATCATGACAGAGCCTTCGAGTAGTAGCATCAATGCTACTATGAAATCTTTTACGCAACAATGACTTAAATGATTAAGAACACTTAGACCCATGTTGGTGGTAGTGGAAGCTCTCCAATGGATAAAAATTTAAAATTGTTCCAAGAAATGAAACCTTCGATGTTTTTTAAGTAGTGGACCAATAGAGGCAGAAGATTGGACCGATGTTTTCAATCATGATTTTTTCAACCGGCCTAACACACTTCTGCATAATAATGGTTTTCTCACAAAAGTGGTTTCTTACCCACATGGTCTATTTCGACCCGACCCAATAAGCTCGTATAAACGAGGCGGGAATGAAGGTCGAACGATAGACTAAAATATTCAATTTCTAAATTTATCACCATAACATTTGAAAAGCCACTAAAAACATTAAGTTTGAAAACACATAAACATAAAATCATTAAGACTCATATAATTATCTTTCTTCCAGCGCACATCTCCTATGGTTTACGTTTACACCTCTTCTACTTATTATAATTAAAATAATTATACCTAAAATTTTTTTGAACAACTAGCAATAAGCCAAAGCTTAACAAGTAAAGCATGCCTCTTAACAACAGTAATTTAAGACAGAATGAGTAATATATTAAATATCACTTTTCATTTAGACATATTAAAAATTTTATTTATTATAAACATATTATTAAACATACATATAAATCATAAATTCATATTATTTAATATTCAGTTTACATTCATCATATCAATATTCGTAGCTTTCTCATTTCATATATAGTACAACCGTCATAGGAGTCACCGTCTAGTACCATAAATGTACTCGCTTTACCATTTCTTTTCCATAATATTTACCATTTTAACGTGCACGAGTACAGCGTCCCCAGCAAGTACCATA